TTTAAAAAACTGTTTGCTAGGCGTAGGCAAGACCATAAGCAAATAGGTAAACTGGGATAATACTAAAGAGTTAATCAGGGTGATTTTTCCACAAATTGACAGGTATTTTCCTTTCCATGGTAGTAAGATCTTATCTATTTTTGCTAACTTTCTATTAAAATTTATTGAAGTGAGATCATTTATTTCCTTTGGGATATGTATTCCGAGTATATCCACATCACCATCAGACCATTTTATTGGTAAACTACATGGTAATGTAAAAATTGTATTTTTTAGTGATCCAATACGTAATATAGTACATTTGTCATAATTTGGTTTTAATCCAGAGAGGTTAGAAAATGTATCTAGATCCTCTATGAGGCTGTGGAGGGATTCTAGTTGTGGATCTAAAAGAAAACATGAATCATCTGCGTACAATGACACCTTTGTTTTTAAGCCCTGTATTTCTAATCCTCTGATATTATTATTGGATCTGATTTTAATAGCCAGCATTCTTACATTGGGTATTCCTCTTGTCCAGACGGGATAGGGCAGTGTGCAGTGTGATGGCGATTGCGTCGTCTGTGGATCTATTGGGGTGGTATATCAAATTGAAGTGGGTCTAGGGTGTCAGGTAAGGTAGAGGTGATATGATCCTTAACTAGCCTCTCAAAGCACTTCATGACAGAACTGAGTGCTACGGGGCGATAGTCATTTAGTTCAGTTACCTTTGCTTTCTTGGGTATGGGAACAATGGTGGACATCTTGAAGCAAGTGGGGACAGCAGACTGGGATAGGGAGAGATTGAATATGTCCGTAAACACTCCAGCCAGCTGCTTTGTGCATGCTCTGAGGACGTGGCTAGGGATGCTGTCTGGGCTGGCAGCCTTGTGAGGGTTACCACGCTTAAATGTCTTACTCACGTCGGCCACGGAGAACAAGTGTCCACAGTCTTTGGGAGCGGGCCGTGTCGATGGCACTGTGTTATCCTCAAAGTGCGCGAAGAAGGTGTTTGTCTGGGAGCAAGACGTTGTGTCCGCGATGTGGCTAGCTTTCCCTTTGTAATCCGTGATTGTCTGTAGACCCTGCCACATACAGACAGTTGAAGTCGGAAGTTTACATACACCTTAGCCAAATACATTTAAACTCAGTTTTTCACAATTCCTGACAGTTAATTCTAGTAAAAATTCCCTGTCTTAGGTCAGTTAGGATAACCACTTTATTTTAAGAATGTGAAATGTCAGAATAATAGTAGAGAATTATTTATTTCAGCTTTTATTTCTTTCATCACATTTACAGTGGGTCAGAAGTTTACATACACTCAATTAGTATTTGGTAGCATTGCCTTGAAATTGTTTAACTTGTGTCAAACTTTTCAGGTATTCTTCCACAAGCTTCCCACAATAAGTTGGGTGAATTTTGGCCCATTCCTCCTGACAGAGCTGGTGTAACTGAGTCAGTTTTTTAGGTCTCCTTGCTCGCACACGCTTTTTCAGTTCTGCCCACAAATGTTCTATAGGATTGAGGTCAGGGCTTTGTGATGGCCACTCCAATACCTTGACATGGTTGTCCTTAAGCCATTTTGCCACAACTTTGGAAGTATGCTTGGAGTCGTTGTCCATTTGGAAGAACCATTTGCGACCAAGCTTTAACTTCCTGACTGATGTCTTGAGATGTTGCTTCAATATATCCACATAATTTTCCTTCCTCATGATGCCATCTATTTTGTGAAGTGCACCAGTCCCTCCTGCAGCAAAGCACCCCCACAGCATGATGCTGCCACCCCCGTGCTTCACGGTTGGGATGGTGTTCTTCGGCTTGCAAGCATCCCCCTTTTTTCTCCAAACATAACAATGGTCATTATGGCCAAACAGTTCTATTTTTGTTTCATCAGACCAAAGGACATTTTTCCTAAAAGTACGATCTTTGTCCCCATGTGCAGTTGCAAACCGTAATCTGGCTTTTTTATGGCGGTTTTGGAGCAGTGGCTTCTTCCTTGCTGAGTGGCCTTTCAGGTTATGTCGATATAGGACTCGTTTTACTGTGGATATAGACTTTTGTACCTGTTTCCTCCAGCATCTTCACAAGGTCCTTTGCTGTTGTTCTGGGATTGATTTGCACTTTTCGTACCAAAGTACGTTCATCTCCAAGAGACAGAACGCGTCTCCTTCCTGAGCGGTATGACGGCTGCGTGGTCACATGGTGTTTATACTTGCGTACTATTGTTTGTACAGATGAACGTGGTACATTCAGGCGTTTGGAAATTGCTCCCAAGGATGAACCAGACTTGTGGAGGTCAACAATTTTTTTTCTGAGGTCTTGGCTGTTTTATTTTGATTTCCCATGATGTCAAGCAAATAGGCACAGAGTTTGAAGGTAGGCCTTGAAATACATCCACAGGTACACCTCCAGTTGACTCAAATGATGTCAATTAGCCTATCAGAAGCTTCTAAAGCCATGACATCATTTTCTGGAATTTTCCAAGCTGTTTAAAGTCACAGTCAACTTAGTGTATGTAAACTTCTGACCCACTGGAATTGTGATACAGTGAAATAATCTGTCTGTAAACAATTGTTGGAAAAATTACTTGTGTCATGCACAAAGTAGATGTCCTAACCAACTTGCCGAAACTGTAGTTTGTTAACAAGAAATTTGTGGAGTGGTTGAAAGACGAGTTTTAATGACTCCAACCTGAGTGTATGTAAACTTCCGACTTCAACTGTATGTCTCGCGTCTGAGCCGTTGAATTGCGACTCCACTTTGTCTCTGTAATTACGTTATGCCTGTTTGATTGCCTTTATGGAGGGAATAACCACATTTGTTTTTATTAGACCAGATTGCCGTGGTTAAATGCGGTGGTTCTCGCTTTCAGTTTTACGCGAATGCTGCCATCTATCCACGATTTTTGGTTTGGGTAGGTTTTAATAGTCACAGTGGGAACAATATCCCCTATACGTTTCCTGATGAACTCAGTCACCGTGTATACGTCTATGTTATTCTCAATTTGCAACCCGGAACATATCCCAGTCCGTGTGATCAAAACAATCTTGAAGCATTGATTCCGTCAGACCAGCGTTGAATAGACCTTAGCACGGGTACTTCCTGTTTCAGATTCTGCCTATAGGAAGGGAGGAGCGGAATGGACTCGTGGTCTGATTTGCCGAAGGGGGTGCGGGGGAGGGCCTTGTAGCCATCCCGGAAGGGAGAGTAACAGTGGTCGAGTTTTTGAAACACGAGTACTGCAGGCAATGTGTTGCTAGAACTTCGGTAGTGTTTTCCTCAAATTTGCTTTGTTAAAATCCCCAGCTACAATAAATGTGGCCTCCGGATATGAGGTTTCCAGTTTGCACAAAGTGCAGTGTAGTTCCTTGAGGGCCGTCGTGGTATCGGCTTGAGGGGGAATATACACGGCTGTGACTATAACCGAAGATAATTTTCTTGGGAGGTAATATGGTCTGCATTTGATTGTGAGGTATTCTAGGTCAGGTGAACAATAGGACTTGAGTTTCTGTATGTTATCACAATCACACCATGCGTAGTTAATCATGAAACATACACTCTCTCTCTTCTTCCCGGAGAGTTCTTTATTCCTGTCTGCACGATTTACTGAGAACCCAGCTGGCTGTATGGACAGGGACCGTATATCCGGCGAGAGCCATGATTCTGTGAAACAGAGTATGTTACAGTCCCTGATGTCTCTCTGGAAGGAGATCCTCGCCCTGAGCTCTACTTTATTGTCCAGGGACTGAACATTAGCGAGTAAAATACTCGGAAGCGGTGGATGGTGTGCGCGCCTCCTGAGTTGGACTAGAAGTCTACTCCAAATACCTCTTCTCCGCCGGCGGCGTCTTGGAGCTCAAAGTTCAATTGCCCTGGGGGGTACGAACAAAGGATCCAATTCAGTTCCACTTGTTGTTGCTTTCAGTGGACACTCCCATGAGTGTCTTTCAGAACCCCTCCTAAAAACCCACTTGTTTTGGTTATCAGTGACTGTTAGTTCCCCCTTCTGTTTGAGCGACATTATTTGTTTTTCTTGCCGGGGAACATAACAAAATGGGTGTTCGTCCGTGATTTAGTTTCCCATGAATATGGTAGTCACTCTAGTCACCTACTCTGAAGCTCTGCTGTGCCCAGATATTGGAGTTTTCAAAATACACTTTTGTAGGAGAGTTTCTGTAACTGACATCCACCCGAGGGGTTATAAGATTTTGTGGAATCATTTCGAAAGTTGCATGAACACACAGGCTAATACAATTAAAATAAAGCCGTGGACTTTAAGTTGAAAGCATTTGTGGAAAATGTGAGATGCTATATAAATGTACAAAGGCGAATCTGCTCGTCATTGCAAAGCATTATGACTTTAACGTGGCATCTGGCTATCCAAATGCAGTAGTCAAAGAGTTGATCGGTACCGCTTTGGTGGAGGAGAGGAAATCCTTCCGGAGGGAGAGGCTGATGAAAAGGGTCCTACGGGTAGTGGGGTGAGTCCCGTAGAGGTGCAACTGCCAAAGTTGGAGCTAAAGGCAAAGTTGGAGCAACAGAAATTAGAGCTCGAGGACAGGAAAAGACAAGATGAGCGTGCAGCCAAACACCAAGACAAGATGAGCGTGCAGCCAAACACCAAGAACGTGAACATTCGATTTAAGACATCTGGAAGAACTCCGAAACCAGTCAGGCCATCCTGCACCCTCAACCAAGTTTGATTTTGGTCGGAACAGCCGTCAATCAATGTAGCCTATTTGTGTTCATTAATGGCTCTCTTTCCTGTTTCCTGTGCTGTGTTTGAATCATTTACTTGTTGTCACTGTACAATCTTGCAATGCGGTTTTTGTACGTGTGCATGTGTACTATGTGAACCTCCCAGGGATTCTCACACCGATTCTAATCTGGAATGTGTGTTTTGTTTAGTAAATTATTTCCCTGTTCTCTCCTCTCTCTCCTCTTTCTGTCTCTTCCCTCCCTTCCTTCTCTCCCTGTAGGTGTAGTGTGCAGTGCCTCAGCGGTGTACTAGCCTGTGTACTATGGTGTGGCTGCCCTCCAGCCTGGGCCTCCTGAGCTACGACAGCATAATCCCCTCGCCCCTCTGCCAGCGACACGCCTGCCGCCTTAGCGTCCTCGCTCTCGCCCTCGCCGGCATGTACACTACCCGCCTGTACAGCGCAGTAGGTGGTGGGGTAGGAGGAGGAAAGCCTGGACGCCGGCCGGGCCTGGGGGTTGGAGGGCTGCCCATGCTGGAGAACCACCCCCATCATCATCATCATCACCACCACCCTCTCCCACCACACCAACATCCCCACCACGTGCCCCCACCACCTCCCAGCTACCCGCCCCTCTACCAGGGGCGGCCTGACCCTCACCGGGGGCCTCACTTCCACAGTCACCACTACCACCCGCACCTGGCCCCTCCTCCGCCTCCACCCCTCCCCCCGCACCCCCACTACCAGCCACACGCCCACCTGCACCACCACGCCACTGTTGGCGCAGCCGGCAACAAGAAGAAGACGTGGAACTTCATCCACGAGAAGATGAGCTATGACACCTTCTTCACCATGAAGAGGCTGATCGAGCGCTCGCGTAGAGCAGATGAAGTGCTGCGCTGGGTGACACAGAACCCAGGCAAGATCTCACACAACCACTACCCCATCGCCCTGCAGAAGATCGGCCAGCTACTACAGGCCGGGGCTGGGGCTGGAGGAGGGGGCGGAGGTGCCTCGGAGGCAGCCCTGGTTCCCTCTCCCGGAGCCGGTGGAGGAGAAAGAGTGGAGAATGAAGGCCGACAGATCCTGGAGCACCAGGACTTCCAGACGCTGTGCGACGCCATCGTGAGCGACTGTGCCAAGTTTGACAACTTCAGCATCGTCAACTGCCTGTATGCTGTGGCTGCACTAGGTGAGTCAAGGTGATCTGTGGCCGCACTAGGTGATCTGTGGCTGCACTAGGTGAGTCTAGGTGATCTGTGGCTGCACTAGGTGATCTGTGGCCGCACTAGGTGATCTGTGGCTGCACTAGGTGATCTGTGGCCGCATTAGGTGAGTCTAGGTGATCTGTGGCCGCACTAGGTGAGTCTAGGTGATCTGTGGCTGCACTAGGTGATCTGTGGCTGCACTAGGTGATCTGTGGCTGCACTAGGTGAGTCTAGGTGATCTGTGGCTGCACTAGGTGATCTGTGGCTGCACTAGGTGAGTCTAGGTGATCTGTGGCTGCACTAGGTGAGTCTAGGTGATCTGTGGCCGTACTAGGTGAGTCTAGGTGATCTGTGGCCGTACTAGGTGATCTGTGGCCGTACTAGGTGAGTCTAGGTGACCTGTGGCTGCACTAGGTGAGTCTAGGTGATCTGTGGCTGCACTAGGTGATCTGTGGCCGCACTAGGTGAGTCTAGGTGATCTGTGGCCGCTCTAGGTGAGTCTAGGTGATCTGTGGCCGCACTAGGTGATCTGTGGCTGCACTAGGTGAGTCTAGGTGATCTGTGGCCGTACTAGGTGAGTCTAGGTGATCTGTGGCCGCACTAGGTGATCTGTGGCTGCACTAGGTGAGTCTAGGTGATCTGTGGCCGTACTAGGTGAGTCTAGGTGATCTGTGGCCGTACTAGGTGATCTGTGGCCGTTCTAGGTGATCTGTGGCCACACTAGGTGATCTGTGGCCGTACTAGGTGAGTCTAGGTGATCTGTGGCCGTACTAGGTGAGTCTAGGTGATCTGTGGCTGCACTAGGTGAGTCTAGGTGATCTGTGGCCACACTAGGTGAGTCTAGGTGATCTGTGGCCGCACTAGGTGATCTGTGGCCGTACTAGGTGAGTCTAGGTGATCTGTGGCCGTACTAGGTGAGTCTAGGTGATCTGTGGCCGTACTAGGTGATCTGTGGCCGTACTAGGTGAGTCTAGGTGATCTGTGGCCACACTAGGTGTTCTGTGGCCGTACTAGGTGAGTCTAGGTGATCTGTTGCCGTACTAGGTGAGTCTAGGTGATCTGTGGCTGCACTAGGTGAGTCTAGGTGATCTGTGGCCACACTAGGTGAGTCTAGGTGATCTGTGGCCGTACTAGGTGAGTCTAGGTGATCTGTGGCCGCACTAGGTGATCTGTGGCCGTACTAGGTGAGTCTAGGTGATCTGTGGCCGTACTAGGTGAGTCTAGGTGATCTGTGGCCGTACTAGGTGAGTCTAGGTGATCTGTGGCCGTACTAGGTGAGTCTAGGTGATCTGTGGCCGCACTAGGTGAGTCTAGGTGATCTGTGGCCGTACTAGGTGAGTCTAGGTGATCTGTGGCCGCACTAGGTGAGTCTAGGTGATCTGTGGCCGCACTAGGTGAGTCTAGGTAGTTGCATGGAGGCAGCTCCATTTCCCATACCATACTTTTTGGAGTGTGAAAGTTCTTTTTCATATTGCTAGTGCAGGGTCAGCAGGTGCTTTTAGTAAATTGCATTTTATATTATCTATGATACGTGAACATTGTGAAATGGCAACTACTACTTTATACGTGTATTCATTCTTATAGATATGAAAGGAATTTGTGTACACATAGCAAACCTGAAAGCACTTTTCTGGAATATTAAACTGACTATATTCCTTGAAAATAAATTAAGTAAACGAAATAAACCCTAAACCTCCCGTCTCCTCCCCCAGGCCTTCCCAGCGACTCGCGGGTGGTGCAGGTGCTGGAGGCCACGTCTCAGTCACGACTGGGCCAGTTTAACCAGAAGGACGTGTCCATGGTGTTCAGCTCCAGCATGAAGCTGCACCCCAGCAGCCAGCACCCGCTCACCGAGGCCTGCCTGGCGGGCTTGGAGAAGAACCTGGAGCGGGAGCGCCACCCGCAGACCCTCTTCCTGCTACTCTCCTACTATCGCCTCAAGTGGCGCTTGCTGCAACCCAGCGACACCGCGACGGTTGAGAACGTGGCCAACATACCACCCAACCCGGAACAGCTCCTGGCCAACAGGTAGGGTTGGTATGATGGTTGATTACCCATTTTATGGTGAAATAGACAAATGTTTACATGTTATATTGGGTTCTCTTGTTTGTAAGAGGTCCATTCATAATTTGTGGCTAGCCATCCAAGTAGAGGCAATGCGAGTTATGCAGTACAACTGGGTCACTCTCGATAGTCATAAATGTAGACAATGTTTTCATAAAGACACGTTTTTATTGGACATGAGGTACTACCTCCATTTTAAAACCTTTTCTCCCATGTTTATGTACTGAACACAATCTAGGTCTAGCGTAATCAGTTCCTGAGTGTAATTTCAATGTCAGTTATTGTGATAAAAGCAGTTATGGCGAAACTTAGTACACTGAACAAAAATATAAATGCAACAATTTCAAAGATTTTAGTGAGTTACAGTTCATACAAGTAAAACAGTCAATTGAAAAACATTTATTAGACCCTAATCTATGGATTTCACATGACTGGGAATACAGATATGCATCTGTTGGTCACAGATACCTTTAAAAAAAAAAAAAAAAGTAGGGGCGTGGATCAGAAAGCCAGTCAGTATCTGGTGTGACCACCATTTGGCTCATCCTTCGCATAGAGTTGATCAGGCTGTTGATTGTGGCCTGTGGAATGTTGTCCCACTCCTCTTCAATGGCTGTGCGAAGTTGCTGGATATTGGCGGGAACTGGAACACGCTGTCGTACACGTCGATCCAGAGCATCCCAAACATGCTCAATGGGTGACGTCTGGTGAGTATCCAGGCCATGGAGGAACTGGGACATTTTCAGCTTCCAGGAATTGGGGACAGATCCTTGCGACATGGGGCTGTGCGTTATCATGAGGTGATGGCGGCGGATGAATGGCACGACTATGGGCCTCAGGATCGCAAGATATCTGTGCATTCAAATTGCCATCGATAAAATGTAATTGTGTTCGTTGTCCGTAGCTTATGCCTGCCTATACCATAACCCCACTGCCACCGTGGGGCACTCTGTTCACAACGTTGACATCACCAAACCGCTCGCCCACACGTCTGCCCGGTACAGTTTAAACCGGGATTCATCCGTGAAGAGCACACTTCTCCAGCGTGCCAGTGGCCATCGAAGGTGAGCATTTGCCCGCTGAAGTCTGTTACAACGCCAAACTGCAGTCAGGTCAAGGCCCTGGTGAGGACGACGAGCATGCAGATGAGCTTCCCTGAGACGATTTCTGACACTTTGAACAGAAATTCTTCAATTGTGCAAACCCAGTTTCAGACGATCCCGCAGGTGAAGCCTCATGTGGAGGTCCTGGGCTGGCATGGTTACACGTGGTCTGCGGTTGTGAGGCCAGTTGGACGTACTGCCAAATTCTCTAAAACTACGTTGGAGGTGGCTTATGGTAGAGAAATGAACATTCAATTATCTGTCAACAGCTCTGGTGGAAATTTCTGCAGTCAGTGTGCCAATTTCACGCTCCCTCAACTTGAGACATCTGTGGCATTGTGTTGTGTGACATAACTGCACATTTTAGAGTGGCCTTTTATTGTCCCCAGCACAAGGTGCACCTGTGTAATGATCATGTTGCTTCGTCAGATTCTTGATATGCCACACCTGTCAGGTGGATGGATTATCTTGGCAAAGCAGAAATGTTCACTAACAGGGAAGTAAAGAAATTTGTGCAATTTCTTTTCGAGAAATAAGCTTTTTGTGCGTATGCAACATTTCTGGGATCTTTTATTTCAGCACATGAAACATGGGACCAACACTTTACATGTTGCATTTTATATTTTCGTTCAGTATAATTAGTATCAAGATACTTGGTAATATCGCGATAATGGCTTTTATCACGATAATTGATGTTATCATGATACCAAATTCCACCATTGTCCCCCCTCAACCTACCAACAGGAAGATCCTCCGACTGGTCAAGCACACTCTGGCTAGCGTAAGTGGCGTGCGCGACCAGGAGATGGCGCTGCTGGACGAGATGCTGGCGACATGCGTACGCGAGGCTAGCAACAAGAGCCTGGAGATAATCTTCAGCTCCCACCTCTTCTACCAGAACAGGCAGGAGAGGTTTGTGTGCAGCCTGGCTGGTGAGTTTTCCCTCTCCTCTCCTCCCTTCCCCTCCTTTCCGCCATTTCTCTGACAGCTGTTTTAATCTGTTGCTTTCTCCACCTTTCTATCATTTACCAAGATAACCTTCTGGTTTTTTTCTCAATAGAGGAGCTGCCTAAAAAAGTGGACAGCATAACCCCATACACCATGGCCCTCATTGCCAAATACATCGCCCGCCACCGGCTCAGGGAGACTCGACTCCTCGACACCATCGCTGATTTCCTGGTCAAGAAGGGAGAATACCTGGATAGCAAGGTAAGGAGGCCCACTCATCTACAAAATCTCTGTCGTACGTTTAAACAGCTGTTGAGCAACTCGGCTATACTGTATTTGTTTGTTGGCTGTATAAGTACAGAGTGCTACTGAGCCTACTGTAGACCTTCATTGCAAAACGGTGTGTTTTAATACATTATTTGGTGACGTGAATATATTTAGTGTAGTTTTATCAAAACTTTTTAAATGTTTCACTATTTTTATTTTTAAGGAAATTCACTGAGGAGGATGGTCCTCCCCTTCCTCCTCTGAGGAGCCTCCACTGGTACGAAGACCAGAGTGGTATAAAGACCATAAGCTATATAACGCAACATCTTTTGTGACAAAACGATCAGTAGAGTTGAAAATGCAACGGAAACCCGGCGAAACCGCGAAAGTTATTTTTATGTGCACTATGTCATCACGCACAGCTTTTTATCCGCAATAATAATAATAATATGCCATTTAGCAGACGCTTTTATCCAAAGCGACTTACAGTCATGTGCGCATAAATTTTTACGTATGGGTGGTCCCCGGGAACGAACCCACTTCCCTGGCGTTACAAGCGCCGTGCTCTACATGCGGTTGATATGGGTTTGATAAAAGCAGTTATCGCGATACTTACTAATTCGTATTACAATGCTTGGTAATATCACGATAATGGTTTTCTCTCTTTCCCCCCCCCCACAGGTGATCCAAAAGCTGGTGTTCCCCTTCAGCCGGATGAGCTACCGGCCGTCCAACGAGGTCCAGTTCTTCGCCAAGCTGGAGGTGGTGCTGGAGCTCAAGGCCCTGAGCTCCCCGCTGGCCACCGTCAACATCCTCATGTCCCTGTTCCAGCTGGGCCACTTCCCTGGCCTGGTGCTGCACAGGGTCTTCTCCACTGCCTTCATCAGCAACGTCACCAGTGAGTGGGGGTGGGGGGCACACACACACACACACACATACACACAAACACACACAGCGATCAAGCAACATCAAAGAGCAGCTATGTTACATTTGTTTTCGACTGGGCCCCTTTCAGTAGAATCAATAAACCTCAAGCCAGATAAATAACTAAGGAGAATGTTTACATGTGTTCAATAATACGATTATTGTGAATATTCAGATTAAATAGAAGTTTTGATTTTAAAACATTTTACATGATGATTTCCCTAATAATCCTGTTTACATGGACACATCTGAAATCAGGCTACGTGATGGGACTTGGACAAATGCAGGAAATCGGGAAGCAAACTAAACGTTATATCACAGCAACCATATTATTTTTGGGGAAGCCTGTTTTTGATTTGAACTATTTCTAACATGCAAACTTTCACATTTTCCGAACTCACTTCACTCGCGCAAAAGACGGAGGCTCGTGCTGGGCCTGCTAGCATATGTGCCGATCAAATACGCAGCTGGAACTCCGATTTTTGTTTTGTTTTTTTACAATAATTCTAAAGAATGTTCCCGAAATCTAGATGTTTTAATCAGTGTATGCTTACTTCGATTATGACCTTATGCCGATTTTAAGATAAGCAGAGTAAAGTGTTTACATGACTAATGACATACTCTGCCTACTGCCATAATCAGTTTAATATATTTACATTAACATTTTAGTCATTTAGCAGACGCTCTTATCCAGAGCGACTTACAGGAGCAATTAGGGTTTAAGTGCCTTGCTCAAGGGCACATCGACATATTTTTCACCTAGTCAGCTCGGGGATTAGAACCAGCGACCTTTCGGTTACTGGCACAACGCTCTTAACCACTAAGCTACCTGCCGCCAACTAAGCTACATGCACACTAATATCTAATTATTAGTGTGCATGTAAACATACTCAGTGTGTGTGTGTGTGTGTGTGTGTGTATATATATATATATATACCACACACACCTCAACTCACTTCCATTCAGTTGCATGTGCTTCATTTTCATGTTAGGCAATTTTAGACCGTTGCTCCCGCTCATGTCTTTGTTTCTGTCGACCTTGTTCCCCCATTTGTAGACAGTCCTTACGCTCTGATCGTACGCCGCTACCTGTCTCTGTTGGACGCGGCGGTGGAGCTGGAGTATCGGGACTACACCGGTCCACGGCTCCAGGACACGCACAAGGTGCTCATGTTTGACCACGCGCTGACCGCTGACGAGGTCAACCGCAAATACAGGTACGGTGCAGTACTAGGGGTGATTGGTTGACCAACTGTATAGTTGTCATCTATTTTGAAAGTTGAATTATGCCTGCCTTCTCATTGCAAATTCCAGTGAAATTCATGAAAAGTATGTGGTTGACATGAGTTGTGTATGCGTTTATTTTATTTATTTTCTCCAGCTATAAGGGTCTTGTTGCTGAAGCCCTCAGACAATTGGTTGGAGAGCATGGCTACAAGCAAGATGAGGTCCTGGCCCCCGGTTATTACACAGGTACATTGAACAAACACCAGAGCGTGTGTTAAATCCAAAGGCCACTCTAAGATACCACACTGTTACTGAACACAATGGTGTATCATTCTGTAGTACTGGAACCTCTTTGGGGTTGTACAATTACAGAAACTTGAGGAATATTAGGTAAAAAAAATATTTAAGCAAGGGAGTCATGCTGAGACCACGCTCTTTCGCAGATGAGCCCTGCATGAACACATCGATAAACAACAATTACACTATACATATCTATATACACATCAATTACACAATACATGAAACGCAAACACAAAACGCTAAACAATCATATGAAACACATTGTTCAGTTAAAAGGCCCTCTAACATCCTCTTGAATTGCCCTATAGGCACCAACTCCATCAGCTTTAAGGGCTTTTGGAGATCATTCCACAGGAGAGGCGTAAAAAAAACTAAAAGCTAATTTACGTAACTCGGTGGAGATTGAAGGGATCTCCGTGGTTAGCCATTCCTGAATACAGGTCTGGTGACTTTATACGTCTGAAGGTTAACAATGAGGTACGGTATGGCCGAAGTTTATGCAAGATTGCTTTACAGACCAAAAGATTGCAATACATCGATCTACGAGACTTCAAAGCGGGCCAGCCTACTTTCTGATAAAATATTCAATGGTGTGTACTCAACCTATCGTGTCCAATGGCTTCAGTACAGTGGCAGGCTGCATTCATATAGATGACATCGCCGTAGTCAACAACCAGAATGAATGTTGAATGAATGATTTCTGCTCCTCTTTTTATATATATATATATATATATTTTTTTTTACAAAAAATTCACTAGACATTGACGGAACTTCCATCATGATTTGATGAAGCGCATCTATTTCTCAATTTGCATTACAAGCTGCCAATCAGCTACAGAGTCCTGTTTTTCTAACCTTGGCCCAGGCCTGGTTTTCTCATCTTAACAAGATCTGACATTTCTATAGAGAACCAAGGATTTGTAATCATGAAGAAAAGCTTTTTGGGGATTTTTTAATTTTTTACTTCTCTTCATAATTATACGATTACTGTCAAATGTTGCAACCCTAAACCTCTGTATATTCCCATTCCTTTGTAGACTTCCTGCTGTGGATTGATGGTTCTGGCCGGGTTCTCCCTATCCGGGCAGGGGCCTCCATAGGTGTGGCCCACAAAGCCCCAGAGGGATCCGTGACCGTGACAGCCCTCGCCTCAGACTTTCAAAAGTTCTCCCCCTTCGCCCCACTAGAGGAAAGGGGGGACAAGCGACCCGTCGGGGGGGACGAGTCGGTGACCCTCCTTCCACACCACATGCAGCGTGGGGCAAACCCTGCCTCGGCCCAGAGGGCGGGCCCTAACGGCGGGGGCCCGCCTGACTACAACCCTTACTACACGCCGGCCGACTACTACTCCAGCCTGGCCAAGGATCACTCCCTGGAGAGCCAGGACAGCTCCACGCTCAGCAGCCCTCCCTCTGACAGCCTAGCCCAGCCAGTGGCCTCCGAGGTAGGGGGATCCACCACGGCTACCCCCGTTTCTCTTTTCCAGTTCTCCATTGGGAAGATCCTGGAGGACGAGGGAGGGGTGCAGGTGGGGCCGGGTAGTCATGGGCCCGACTGCGAGCTCCCTGTCTTCTATGAGGGGTTGGACGGGGACGTGGGGCCCACCTCGCCACTTCAGCTGCACCCGGCCGATCGAACCGACACCGAGAGGGTGGCGGGGGACCAGCGGCAGCTTAAGAGGTCAGTGCTGATGGGATCCCCAAATCTGTCCAGTTAGTCATTTTGTACATAGTACCCAATTTAAGAAGCGCTTGATAATGCATCATTGGTGGAGCAATGCTAGCTAGTAAATAACTTTCAGAAAATATAGTTTTGCTGGGAAGTCTGCCTCATCTTCACGGCAGATACCAGTATTTTTCTACCATCTTTCGTCACTTGTGTGATCGCGGCGTAAGTAATTTATTTCATAATGAGATTCGTTAATTGCAAAATTCCTTTCTTCTTTCAGAGTGGTCATGTCGGTGAATGACAAGTGGCACTACTGTCACAACTCTGAGGTTCTGGTGGGCTCCCGGGCCATGAGGGACCGTCACCTGCTGCTCCTGGGATATGTCATCCTGCAGGTGAGCCATTACCTTCATACAACCACATTTCAACCATCTTACAACCACATTTCAACCACCTTACAAACTACATGTTAACCATCTTACAACCACATTTCAACTACATTTTAACCATCTTACGACCACATTTCAACCATCTTACAACCATATATCAACTACATGTTAACCATCTTACAACCACATTTCAACCATCTTACAACCATATCAACTACATTTTAACCACATTTCAACCACCTTACAAACTACATGTTAACCATCTTACAACCACATTTCAACCACCTTACAAACTACATGTTAACCATCTTACAACCACATTTCAACCATCTTACAACCCACACGTTAACAATCTTACAACCATATTATCATCTTACAACCACAGGTTGGTGGCACCTTAATTGGGGAGGATGGGCTCATGGTAATGGCTGGAGTGGAATCAGTGGAATGGTATCAAATACATAAAACACATGGTTTGATGCCATTTCATTTGCTCCGTTCCAGCCATTATTATGAGCCGTCCTCCCCTCAGCAGCCTCCACTGCTTACAACCCTCATTTCAACCATCTTGCAACCACATTTCAGTCTTCCCTTACCTCCATCACAATCATCCGATGAAGCTTTTTAATTGGTACCAGGGACAATGGTCTACTAATGGTCCACTGTGCCCAAATAAGGCAAACTAACAGTGGTATGTACTCTGTCATCTGTCCCTGGGTTTTCTCTATGCCCCTCTTCTCCCCTCTTCTCCCCTCTTCCACAGCTGCCCTATCACGAGCTGGAGAAGCTGAATGGTATAGAGGAGGTGAAGCAGTACCTCCACAAAAAGCTCCTGGAGGTCCCCTTATGACAACAAAAGACTTGAGTGTGTGTGTGTGTGTGTGTGTGTGTGTGTGTGTGTGTGTGTGTGTGTGTGTTCAAGGAATTGCGGCTGCTTGGGATAGGACAGGGGGTTGTTGGTGGGATTGGGAAAAGCAGGTGGTTTGGGGTAGAAAAACAAACCCTGGTCAAAGTCTAAAAACAGAGTTTTTGTGCAATTTGCTCTCACATTCATCAAAATGGTGGCAGGCTATTTGCAACGAGCCACAGACCCAGTTGATGACATGTCTAGTATCATGTTGCCACGCTTGGTGTCTTGTTAATGTCACTTCACAACGGTTCTTGACCATTTTGCCTATGGACTATTCCTAGTATATCACAGTAGCATGACAAAACAGTTGTGTTCATTTTAAATTTTGACCAGCGTATTTCTATAGTTTTAATCATGGTTTGGTGTGGAGGTGTGGGGAATACAATGTTTTATTATTATAATTATTATAGAGTCATACAGAGATGACGATGTTCTGGTGGTGTCATACAGAGATGACGATGTTCTGGTGGTGTCATACAGAGATGACGATGTTCTGGTGGTGTCGTACAGAGATGACGATGTTCTGGTGGTGTCATACAGAGATGACGATGTTCTGGTGGTGTCATACAGAGATGACGATGTTCTGGTGGTGTCGTACAGAGATGACGATGTTCTGGTGGTGTCATACAGAGATGACAATGTTCCTTCTATTGTTTCTTTAACTCCAGTTGTAACGCATGTCGGGGACTGGTCATACAGGACCAGATATAACTGGGGGGGGGGGGGTTATTTAAACAAACAAATGGGGGTTCTTCATAGTGTTTTCTAATACTGGTGCACTGTATGTAGGCTAATGAACTGTAGGATGTTAACGAGGGATGAGGATTTATTAATTAAGTTAATGTGGGAAAAATAGGTTCTATTTTTGTGAATGCTGGAACGGCTTTTCCGGTGTCCAAAACAAAGCAACGCGCGGTGGATCGTGTCCAACATCAACTTCGTGTCTTTGTTCTGTCTTCGGCGCTTCACTTTGTGACGTTCAATGAATGAGTTTCCACCGTTGCATTGACAACGAAACAGGTTTTTCCAGTAGGGAATTGCTAGACACCTGGGGCCTGAAATATCAACCGTGCAGACATTTCCTCACTCAATTCTGGCGTACGTGGCGATTTGTAGGATTTGCATGCGCAACAATTTACTGGGATTTATCAAACTGTCACACACATCATATACGCATGATTTCATTGATCAATTAGAGCCATACTATATTTGTGTGCTTGTGAACGAACGCAATTTGTAAGTCGCTCTGGATAAGAGCGTCTGCTAAATGACGAAAATGTAAATGTTACAACCCCGCCTGGAAAACGCCCTCCATTCACCTTTTACGGTAAAACAAAAACGCCCTCATTTGCTGTATGATTTGGAGATGTTGGAACTGGGCCGTGATAGTTCCTAAAAGAAAAGCGCAATGGCAAGTTTGATCACATTTCTGTAGAAGTGTGGGCAGAATGTGTTAATCTTTTGCAGTGACTTTTCAAACTTAAAACGCATGCCGCCTACAGCGAGTGCCAAACTCTGGCCACGCATTCTGCAAGATTGATTGATTTGTCTATTTGAACAATTTTAAAAAGTAAACGCTTCAGCCCACACTTCTATGCAAAAAGATGAATTGTTGTTCAGTATTTTGTTATCAATACATGATTGTGTTTCTATCTCCTGCCTTGGTGGCTCTGAGATGTACTAGGCTATGGTGTGGTGCTCCTACCGCACAGCATTACTGTAGACTACCCATACTCTCAAATATGTTAAGTAGGCTACCGGTCTATTTACATTTGAGCATGCTTTGCTATTGAGGGATGGATAAATGGTAGCATAAATATTTGTCCTGCAATATATAATTATGATTTAGGCCTATAGAATAAAAGTAAAATAAACACATTAGGCTACATGCTGCTCTGCGATCTCCTTTACTAAATGTAAATGCATCTGTGTTATCATTTTTTAAATATTTGTATTAGTCTACCATTATTATAATTCCTGCGCATCAAACACCTTCATTTCCCCATAAGAACAATGTGTGTGCAATACAATTGATCAACCACCGGATGTGCGCATGGTCTCAGCTGTCCTTGGAGATACTCACAATTCCCCGCAAATTAAAAAAAAATAGATATCTTTGCGGAAAAACTGGCGCATGCAAGGGTGTCTTTTTTTTGTTTTTGTGCATACGCACCTTCGATAAATGAGGCCCCAGGTTCGTTAAATTAGAGAATTTTATTGGAAGGTCCATAGTACCATGTATTGCTATGAAAAAGACAAGTGGATACAGTCTCTCTGAACCTGTTTTCTGTTGGTCCTAATCAGCGGTATTTTAAATCATACCCTGACCTAAGTTCACTCATGCGGTGAAACATTTCAAATTGGTGTTTGATACCGGGCAAGCTCACAGTGCTCACATTTTTAATTTCAAATCTTTGTCTCTCGAAGCGATACAAATTATTTTTGAGTCCATTAGCTTTGTACAGGACCCCCAAACACTTGAACTGTGTAAGGCAAAGCAGAAATGGCTTTATGTGATTCCACCAATTCCACCCCAGTACTACTGGGGGCGCTGTCTTTGCTTTGTTTATGGAGTCCTGTATGTAGCCGTTCAGAAAGAGACAAGGGGTCACTCAGAGCCACCTGTGTGTAATATATTAATGAATGCATTATCATTTGTAAGGATCCATAGGCTGTTCTGAATGCTTGTAGCAAGTATTTACAAAGCGCTATGGGTTGTGATAGGAGGTACTGTATAAATGCATTATGCACAGGTGGTTGAGGGTTAGTATTTATTTATTACTGTTGGTATCATGCCGCTGGTACAGAGGATGTGAGTGTGGATGTATGTGTGTCTGGGAAAAGAAGGGCGGAAAAGATTGTTTATATACACATTGAAATGTCTATGAAAAATATTATTAAAAAAATGAAAAAAGCAACATTTGTGAAATTAATATCCATATTGGTAAAATATGTGAAATGATACTTAATGCAGAAATGTACGAGCAATTTAAAGTTTCATGTGTTACACTTGGGACCATATGAGTATTTTAATGGAAAGCTGTTGTGATTTGAACGAATCACAAGGCTAATTGTCAATTTGCTGTAAGAGTTACATGAGATTCGAGAAGTCACTTTTGGATTTAACAGAATTCAAAAGTGGCCTTACCTGCAATAGTGACCTCAAATCTTATGCAGACGTTCTTCAGAAAGGGATACTTTAAGAATATCAGTTGGATTGGAGTGTTTTCTAAATAGTTGTCAAACTGAAGTAAGCAAAATACATACAGGTATCCAACAACTGTATTGGGGAACCGACTACAGCCAAGGTTAGTGGAAAAAAAAGTGTCTGTATTCTGAGTGGATCAAAACTTCTTAGGTCTAAGCTCTGGCTAAAAGTAGTGCCCTAGATAGAATAGGCTGCCATGTTGCTACACCATAAGTGACAGGGCTGAGCATACCTCTCTTACATTCACAAATCAATGAATGATTGAAATCACACGAAGAATACAAGAGAAAAAAAGTGCATTTTATTGAGGGTTTGACCAGATGTTAATGGAGGGAAAGCAGCAACAGTCCTCCCTCTGCATGGACTGTCAGAGACCCAAGGACAAAAAACGGCAAGCCCCTCATCTGCTTAAGTTTAAAATTTCCTTCTCAAAGTTTAAAAAAAATAGTGAAAACGTTGCAACAAGTTCATAACACCTATATAAAGGAGAAAAAAAAAAAGATATGCGTTGAACACGTAACAAAGCCCCTGTAAAAGAGAGAACTCATCCCGTTTGAATAAAAGTCCTCCAGGTCAACAACTGGAGGGGGAGCATGTCTTCTCCATTCCTCTTGGTTATTTATTCTCTCTGTCTCTCATTTCTTCTTGTGAGAAAGAAGTGGGAGGAGCCAATGTGCAAGCGTTTTGACGACGCTGCCATGACTGCTCCTGACTCGTGAGAGGCGTGTCCCGCACAGACCCTCTTCTTTGGGGGGTGGGGGGGTGGCTAGTCTGTGTCCGAGTCACTGCTGTCCTCTGAGGAAGAGCTGCTGGAGCCTTCGGATTGGTCGTCGTCATCATGGTCATCGTCATTCTAGAGGACAGAGACAGTAGAACAGCTGGGTCATTCTAGAGGACAGAGACCGTAGAACAGCTGGGTCATTCTAGAGGACAGAGACCGTAGAACAGCTGGGTCATTCTAGAGGACAGAGACCGTAGAACAGCTGGGTCATTCTAGAGGACAGAGACAGTAGAACAGCTGGGTCATTCTAGAGGACAGAGACAGAACAGCTGGGTCATTCTAGAGGACAGAGACAGAACAGCTGGGTCATTCTAGAGGACAGAGACCGTAGAACAGCTGGAGAGGACAGAGACAGTAGAACAGCTGGGTCATTCTAGAGGACAGAGACAGTAGAACAGCTGGGTCATTCTAGAGGACAGAGACCGTAGAACAGCTGGGTCATTCTAGAGGACAGACCGTAGAACAGCTGGGTCATTCTAGAGGACAGACCGTAGAACAGCTGGGTCAAATACATTGTCATACTAGTGCAGCTTTTGATTTGGTTTGCCCAATACAATGGAACCAATCGAATAGTTTGATCAGATGACTCAAAATGAACACCGAGGTAAAGTAAGCTCACCTCAAATACTTTTGAATAATGTATTTGACCCAAGTCTGCACAAAAGCATAGTGCTGATGACCCCTGGCTTGGAAAACTCACATCATCATCTTCGCTGTCGGAGCTGCCGGATGATTCTTCGTCGTCATCGGAGTCTGACGAGTCCGTCTTGTCATCGTCGTCCGAGTCGGACGTATCCTGCTGTAGAGCACAGGGTCACGCCTCTACTGCAAACTCACCCGTTTACAGAATGTTCACACACACGTGCACTGCACACACACTCACAGTACATACGGAAAGTATTCAGACCCCTTCTCCACATTTTGTTACATTACAGCCTTATTCTAAAATGGATTAAATAAAAATCCTCAAGCAACACAATACCCCATATTGACAAAGCAAAAACACGTTTTTAGAAATTTTTGCAAATGTATTAAATATAAAAAACATACCTTCTTTACATAAGTATTCAGACCCTTTGCTATGAGATTCGAAATTGAGCTCAGGTGCATCCTGTTTCAATTCATCATACTTTGGAGTCCACCTGTGGTAAATTCAATTGATTGGACATGATTTGGAAAGGCACACATATCTATACAAGGTCCCACAGTTGACAGCGCATGTCAGAGCAAACACCAAGCCATGAGGTCAAAGGAATTGTCCGTAGAGCTCCGAAACAGGATTGTGTCAAGGCACAGATCTAGTGAAGGGTACCAAAATAGTTTTGCAGCATTGAACGTCCCTCAGAACACAGTGGCCTCAATCATTCTTAAATTGAAGAAGTTTGGAACCACCAAGACTCTTCCTATCGGGGGAGAAGGGCTTTAGTCGGTCACTCTGACAGAGCTCCAGAGTTCCTCTGTGGAGAATCTTCCAGAAGGACAACCATCTCTGCAGCACTCCACCAATCAGGCCTTTACGGTAGAGTGGCCAGAGGAAGCCACTCAGTAAAAGGCACATGACAGCCTGCTTGGAGTTTGCCAAAAGGCACCTAAAGACTCTCAGACCATGAGAAACAAGATTCTCTGGTCTGATGAAACCGAGATTGAACTCTTTGGCCTGAATACCAAGCGTCACGTCTGGAGGAAACCTGGCACCATCCCTGCGGTGAAGCATGGTGGTGGCAGCATCATGCTGTGGGGATGTTTTTCAGCGGCAGGGACTGGGAGACTAGTCTAGGATCGAGTGAAAGATGAACGGAGCCATTATAGAGGGTAAATGTCATTTTCTGATTTTTTTTTTAAATTTGCACACACAAAAAAAAAACTTGCTTTGTCATTATGGGGTATTGTGTGTAGATTGATGATGGGGGGGGGGATTAAATCAATTTTAGTATAAGGCTGTAACGTAACAATGTGGGAAAAGTAAAGGGGGTCGGAATATTTTCCGAATGCACTGTATAACCAGGGGTTGGAACCAAAATAATTTTCCAATCGTTTCATTCTGAACATAACCATTATTGTTTTCATTCCGTTCCACTGTTCCAACCAGCAAAAGAAAGTTCTGAACCGGTTCGAACCCCCCAAAAAAGTATGGCTTCATATCGTTCCTTTCTGTTCCTTTTTAAAACTCCAGAAAAATAACTATTATTATTATTAATGTATATAGTTGTACATTTCAAATCAACATTAAATTATAGAGCTGCTTGCTGTGGAGCGGGTAAGTGATTTAAATCGGTATAGGAAAGTCGGTAAATCTTATTTTGCCGTAACAGCATGGTTTAATCATAATGAAAGACAAAACACTGTGCTGCCTTGAAGAGCTGGGCATCTTGTCATGACTGAATTAGGCCCACAGAATTATACCTACGGAGAAGCGGCTTCTATGGAGGAACTGTTCATGTCTTTCAACTTCCAAGTTGGTTTAACGTTGGACCAGAGCAAACGTTAGCTAGCTAGCCAACAAGCTTGGGTGTGCAGAGCAGCACTAGAATTAACAACACGTCTTACCTTATTGTTGTTAATAATTCCAATGTGAAACGTGATAACTACAGTATCCTTAACTAGCATTGAAAAAGTAAATCCATTCTTCTCCCGGAACGTAAAAGAACGGTATTAACCGGTTCCCATACTTTTTAAAATAACGGTTCTGTTCCGGAACAGTATAGATCATTTTTCATTTTCGGTTCGTGTTCTGTTCCTCAAATAATTTCATATTTTCCTTGAACAGGTTCCAACCCTTGCTTACAACAGCACATGGAATACACAATTACAGGACACACACATATGATAGGATAACACAACCACCCAGACATAACAGGTTAAAACACAGATTAACAAAAAAAATAATACTAACACATAAGCACGTTAGACAAAGTAAAACTACAAAAATGGCAAGAGAGCACACATGCACATGCCACCACTTCAAAATCAGAGTGTGTGTGGATTGTGAGTGTGTGTCTCAGTCTGTGTGTGTGAGAGAGGGAAGCAGTCCGGCGAGAGCGGCGCGGTTACCTTGGCCCGGTACGCCATGGCCCGCTTGCCCCCCCCGACCCCTGCTGCTGTGGCTCTGGCACCTACCGCCTTCCCCTTCACTGCAGTCACGCGAACCTTGGCCCCCGGGCCCCCCCGCACCTTGGTGGTGCTCCGCCGTTTCTGCATTTGGTGGTGGGGGGGGGGGGGGGGGGGGGGGGCAAGATGGAGAGGGAAAGAGAATTGGGGGGGGGGGGGGGGGGGAGGTAATGGGGATGGAAAGATGGAGGGGGGGAGGAGGGGGGGTAAGAGCAGCACACAAATAACTTTCAAGCTCAAAGCATTGATGATTAGTAGCTAGATGCAAATATCATTATGTTCTTTTGCCATTTATATGCAGTTATGCTAGATGCCCGCTTGCGAATACAGATAGTCACTATGGCCGTCACATCAGGCTACAAAGACACAATAAGGCTATTTTAATTTACTCATCTAAATCAAATGTATTTGGTGTCAGGTGTTAAGAACTCCAGCTACAGAGAAAAGAGTAGCTATAGCCATGGAATATGAAGAACGAGGAATTAAAACAAATATAGCATTAGTGTGAAGGGTTACAGCAGGAGTTGGACCGGTTATAGCATGAATGTGAGTGTTTCGGGCATTGTATATGAAGTGCGGTGTTGAGTCGGGGTCAATAACATGACAACATGCGTATTTGACAGCGTGAAACTCACCGTGGTGGAGAACTCTTTATAAACTGCTCGCTCCTGGGGAGAGAGAGACTGAAGGGGACGACAGACAGAAAGAGTGAGGGGGAAGAAATGACAAAACACTGATTTCTTCCAAAAGGTGCTGTCGCCAACATTGCATCTATCATTTCAACTATTTATTGATTTTTTAAAGAATACAATGCATAGGTTCCGAGTACGCACCTTGTACCAATGTATTCTTCTGTGATGCATTTGATATTTTAAACACTTATTTGATTATTTTGAGGCAAGGCGACCTTGGGTATCCACAGTTCAGAAAAGTACCTAAGAAATAAATAATTATTTGACCTATGACCCTTACCTTGACCCAGGCCTCCAGCTCGGCCTTGTACTCGATCTGCTGTTCTTCCACCAGCTTCTTGTACTTGTCCTTGTGGCTCTGGCTGAGCTTGTGCCAGCGCTTGCCGATCTCCACCATCCGCTCCTTCAGGCTGAAGTGGTTCAGCTCGCCGTTGGTCAGCAGCTCCTGGGAGAACATCTGGTAGCCACTCCTGCAGAGAGAGAGAGAGGAGACAGGAAGCAGGTTTAATTATACCCACATAGCAGTCAATCGAAACTACAGTCCATGAGCAAACTAATGGCATAGCCCCATCTAAATAAATGTATACATTCATACTAGCAACAATTAGCAACACAAAGCAGAAGTACGTAAATAGCCTAGGATCTTCTAGGCTTAACGTGTCCGATTTAAGGTGGTGATCAAAGACATGACAAATGAGTAAAACAATGATAGTGACATTTGGGGGAAAGCGGAGGACATTTGGGGGAAAGCGGAGGACATTTGGGGGTAAAGGAGAGACGTAGAAAATGGGATGGAGCAAAGTGAAAAGGTAAATAAAAAAAGAATATGGGCCAGGATAAAAGCCAAGACACCATGTGACAAACAGACGTCAATATGTAGTCACTCACACTGGTGGCTTTCTGGGCTCCCCTTCAAACTTGGGTTTCCTCTGGCCTGCTCCTGACTGGGCTGTTCTCATCTCCAACAATTCCCTCTGCAGGACAAGCACAGTCCACCACACACACACACACACACACATTACAACGCATCAGACGTACTGTACATGTCAAATACTTTCAAAGGATTCCATTGTATCGGGCAAATGAAATCAAGTTACGCTTGAGTATTTGGAAGTATTTGCCATATTTGACCCAGTAAATATGGGTAATGGTACGTCTCATCAAAATAAAGGGACAGTTGAATGGATCATCATAATATATACACATTACATATTTCAACAGTGACATCCAGCGAAAAAACACACTACATGACCAAAGGTATGTGGACACCTGCTCGTCGAACATCTCATTCCAACATCATGGGCATTAATATGGAGTTGGTCCCACCTTTTGCTGCTACAACAGCCTCCACTCTTCTGGGAAGGCTTTCCACTAGATGTTGGAACATTGCTGCGGGGACTCGCTTCCATTCAGCCACAAGAGCATTAGTGAGGTCGGGCACTGATGTTGGGCGATTTAGGCCTGGCTCGCAGTCGGCGTTCCAATTCATCCCAAAGGTGTTCGATGGGGTTGAGGTCAGGGCTCTGTGCAGGCCAGTCAAGTTCTTCCACACCGATCTCGACAAACCATTTCTGTATGGACCTCGCTTTGTGCACAGGGGACATTGTCATGCTGAAACAGGAAAGGGCCTTCCCCAAACTGTTGCCAAAAAGTTGGATGCACAGAATCGTCTAGAATGTAATTGTATGCTGTAGCGTTAAGATTTCCCTTCACTGGAACTAAGGGACCTAGCTCGAACCATGAAAAACAGCCCCAGACTAACGTTGCTTCCAGAGGCATTTTGGAACTCGGTAGTGAGTGTTGCAATCGAGGACAGATTCTTTTTTACGCGCTACAGCACTCGGCGGTCCCGTTCTGTGAGCTTGTGTGGCCTACCACTTTGCAGCTGAGCCATTGTTGCTCCTAGACGTTTCCACAATAACAGCACTTACAGTTGACCGGGGCAGCTCTAGCAGGGCAGAAATTTGACGAACTGACTTGTTGGAAAGGTGGCATCCTATGATGGTGCCACGCTGAAAGTCACTGAGCTCTTCAGTAAGGCCATTCTACTGCCAATGCATGGCAGTGTGCTCGATTTTATACACCTGTCAGCAACAGGTGTGGCTGAAATAGCCGAATCCACTAATTTGAAGGAGTGTCCACATACTTTTGTATATATAGTGTATGACTCAAATGTCAAGACGCTGGTACAATGGCAGAAAGCAGAAGAAACAAAGAACAGAGATCACACAAACGCATCCAGGCGAGGTGGAGCCACCAACTCCACTCTGGCTTGGAGGAGGGTGGGGGGCGGGGAGGCTTGGAGGAGGGTGAGGGGGGGGTGGAGGAAGGTAGGGGGGGGCTGGAGGAGGGGGGGGGGGGGGAGGGAGGTGGGGGGTGGGGCTGGAGGAGGGTGGGGGGGCGGAGGGAGGGGTGGGGGGGGGGCTGGAGGGAGGTGGGGGGTGGGGGGAGGGAGGTGGGGGGGCTTGGAGGAGGGGGGGGGGGGGATTGGAGGAAGGTGGGGGGGGCTTGGAGGAGGGTGGGGGGGTGGGGAGGAGGGGGTGGGGGGTGGGGAGGAGGGGGTGGGGGGCGGGGGGAGGAGGGGGTGGGGAGCAGCAGAAGGAGGGCGACCAACATTTTGACATTTCTTCAGCACAACTGGAGAAGACAGCGGTCAAAACGTCTGGTCACTGACCACGGGCCGGTACTGAACCTCGTATCGCTTCTGGTCTTCAGCCGCCTTCTTGATCCACGGAATCTTCTCCTTCTTCTCCATGGCCTTCCAGGCCGACTCCATGGCACTCTGGGCCTTCTTACGGTCACTCTGTAACCAGAAGACATGGAACACATATGGTTTTTCTCTTCACCTTAGGACGGTACGGATTAAAAGTGCATTCCTAGATGCTGTACAGCAGGGGACTTCAACTGGTGGCCTGCGTGCCACAACTGGCCCACGAGCCAATTTGATTTGTCCCGCCACAGTATACAGTGCTTGTAAAAAAATATATATGGTTTTGTTGGGTTGTTGGTGGAAAATAACTACTTCAATCTAAATGTGAAACACTAAAACCAGACAGAAAACTATAAAAATTAATATGGCCCTATATTAAAGATAAAATCATAATAATCTACGGCTGTTTTGCAGACACAAAATGTCACTCTTTCTCACCCTGTACTTGGCCAGGTAGTCTCCCATGACGCCCTGTTGCCACATCTCCTCGGCAGTCTTGGGTGTCTCGGGGAGTTTGGTCCTCTTCTTGCCGTCGCGCTTCTCTTTCGCCGTCAGGCCGGAGTGCACCCAGTGCTCCAGCTCAGCTTCGCGACAGCGCTCCTGAATGAATCCGATACAGAGACAGACCTGGTATCAATACATTGTGTACCTAGTATACCTTTAAATGTAAAATCTTGACCGGTGACACAGCTCAAACATCCCCATGACCCAACATATGTAGCCTCCTGTAGCTCAGTTGGTAGAGCACGGCGCTTGCAACGCAAGTGTTGTGGGTTCGATTCCCACGGGGGGGCCAGTATGAAAAATGTATGCACTCACTAACTGTAAGTCGCTCTGGATAAGAGCATCTGCTAAATGACTGAAATGTAATATGTAATATGAAATAGTTAGTAAACCTTCCCAGTGACTGACCAGGTGAAACGTTCACTGTAAGACATAGCCCACCTTCACTGTAACCTAACACTAGGGCTGTTACGGTGACCGTATTACCGCCACACCGGCGGTCCCCAGTCATGACAGCAGTCAAATTCCACGTGACCGTTTAGTCCCGGTAACTCGACTTCTCCAAGCTCTGATGCTGCTGATGGTCATTAGTAGCCTACCAAACTTGCTAACTGCCTGGTACCCAGCACTCTATTGTCCCTTCTAATCACTCTGACATCAATGCAAATGTAATCGAAAATCAAATCAAAACACTTAATGAGAGCTCATGAGCTCATGTTGCACAACATTTCTATAGGCAATGCAATTGCATGAGAAAACAGAGTTTTGATGGCCTCTGTTAAAAAGAGGAGTACCCCATCAGCTTTCTACAGTTGAAGTCGGAAGTTTACATACAGTGGGGGAAAAAAGTATTTAGTCAGCCACCAATTGTGCAAGTTCTTCCACTTAAAAAGATGAGAGAGGCCTGTAATTTTCATCATAGGTACACGTCAACTATGACAGACAAATTGAGAATTTTTTTCCCAGAAAATCACATTGTAGGATTTTTAATGAATTTATTTGCAAATTATGGTGGAAAATAAGTATTTGGTCACCTACAAACAAGCAAGATTTCTGGCTCTCACAGACCTGTAACTTCTTCTTTAAGAGGCTCCTCTGTCCTCCACTCGTTACCTGTATTAATGGCACCTGTTTGAACTTGTTATCAGTATAAAAGACACATGTCCACAACCTCAAACAATCACACTCCAAACTCCACTACGGCCAAGACCAAAGAGCTGTCAAAGGACACCAGAAACAAAATTGTAGACCTGCACCAGGCTGGGAAGACTGAATCTGCAATTGGTAAGCAGCTTGGTTTGAAGAAATCAACAGTGGGAGCAATTATTAGGAAATGGAAGACATACAAGACCACTGATAATCTCCCTCGATCTGGGGCTCCACGCAAGATCTCACCCCGTGGGGTCAAAATGATCACAAGAACGGTGAGCAAAAATCCCAGAACCACACGGGGGGACCTAGTGAATGACCTGCAGAGAGCTGGGACCAAAGTAACAAAGCCTACCATCAGTAACACACTACGCCGCCAGGGACTCAAATCCTGCAGTGCCAGACGTGTCCCCCTGCTTAAGCCAGTACATGTCCAGGCCCGTCTGAAGTTTGCTAGAGTGCATTTGGATGATCCAGAAGAGGATTGGGAGAATGTCATATGGTCAGATGAAACCAAAATATAACTTTTTGGTAAAAACTCAACTCGTCGTGTTTGGAGGACAAAGACTGCTGAGTTGCATCCAAGGAACACCATACCTACTGTGAAGCATGGGGGTGGAAACATCATGCTTTGGGGCTGTTTTTCTGCAAAGGGACCAGGACGACTGATCTGTGTAAAGGAAAGAATGAATGGGGCCATGTATCGTGAGATTTTGAGTGAAAACCTCCTTCCATCAGCAAGGCATTGAAGATGAAACGTGGCTGGGTCTTTCAGCATGACAATGATCCCAAACACACCGCCCAGGCAACGAAGGAGTGGCTTCGTAAGAAGCATTTCAAGGTCCTGGAGTGGCCTAGCCAGTCTCCAGATCTCAACCCCATAAAAAAATCTTTGGAGGGAGTTGAAAGTCCATGTTGCCCAGCGACAGCCCCAAAACATCACTGCTCTAGAGGAGATCTGCATGGAGGAATGGGCCAAAATACCAGCAACAGTGTGTGAAAACCTTGTGAAGACTTACAGAAAACGTTTGACCTGTGTCATTGCCAACAAAGGGTATATAACAAAGTATTGAGAAACTTTTGTTATTGACCAAATACTTATTTTCCACCATAATTAGCAATTAAATTCATTGAAAATCCTACAATGTGATTTTCTGGATTTTTTTTCTCATTTTGTCTGTCATTGTTGACGTGTACCTATGATGAAAATTACAGGCCTCTCATCTTTTTAAGTGGGAGAACTTGCACAATTGGTGGCTGACTAAATACTTTTTGTTCCCCACTGTACCTAATATTAAGCACATTGTTTCACTTTACAACAGGCTGGCATGAAAAGTGTCCTCCATTCGCTATTTAAGTGCATAGATGACATGTATTATTTTCTCCTGCCCCTGTTCTGAGACAGGTGCATGATAATGGTCCATTCTAAATAAAAACTAACTTCATACATATATTATTTTGTATATGTAAAGACAAGATTAAATTAAGAATAGTCTGATGGGTGACAATATTATCTGTTATGAATGATGTATTATTGCTTGTGAATGATGTAATATTGCTTGTGAATGATGCCCAGTGTGTGAAGGCAAGAAACAGCGCATTCCTTTTTTTGCAACTTTTTCAAATCATAGTCTCACACCTCGCGTCGCCTAGCCCACCTCGCGTCGCCTAGCCCATAGGCCTATTTGTTTTGAAAAGGTTTGTATCACAACTAAAGTGGCCAAATAACTTCTTAAAATTAAGCACATTAATCCGCTTTACAACAGGTGTAGAGCCTAACTGGCATACATAGGAGGCGTGTGAGTTTCAAGTTTGGGGGAAGATAATTTTCTTCTAATTGGCATATTATAATTTTCACCATAAAAATGCACCTTTATAATAAAGCATTACATGCACAATCGCGGTCACTTTTGAGAATGGTGTTTTCCCGCTAATTGATTGCATTTTGGAACATTTGCGCTTATAGCCTACTGCCATGTGCGCATTGCTGCGCTTATAATGTGAAGAAATAGCCTAATAGTTTATCAAAATTTTAACTAAACGTTATGATCTGTTGTGTCAGACTCATTGCTTTTAAAAGGTTTTTGATGCTAGTGGTTGTATTAATTTGGGATCTATCGCATCCCACAAATGTCCCAGACTATGTTTTCTTTTTTGCACAGAAGGACAAGTTGACCAATAGAATAGGTCATCTTTTGTACTATGGGGGATAGTAGATTGACATAGGCTAGTGCTTTTGCTGTTCGTTAGGCCTACTCATCTTGTTGACTGATGAAAAGTAAGTGTGGACAGTTCTTCTAACATCTTCAATATGCTCCTCGGAATTCGATAAGAAGGATGGGCTCAGTTGCGTCCCCGATGTGCCTACTTCAGAGCTGAGATGACTGTGAGAAGGACCCGATCACGTGACGGTCATTGGCTAATAAGAATTCAGATATCTGAGAGAGCCATGTGAGTGAGAGGTGCTTCATAAGGGAATTATATTTATTATATTCAGCCCAAGGGCACAACGGCCACTTTGACCGCAAAAGGCATGAATTTATTTTAGGGGCCATTACGGCCAGACAAGGGGGATGCCGCCGGGAAATCCGAGGCATTATCAAGTGCTTGTGAAATTTTGAATGAGAGACTGATGAAATGTGTCAAATCAAAATATATAGCCCAACGTTTGTATCACAACTAAAGTTGCACAAATAACTCTAAATTAAGCATATAGGAGGACCTGTTTCTTTATTAACCGCTCAACACAGAATAGCCACGCGCACTCCCTTGGAAATCGTTTGGAGTAAAATATAGTTTCTACTTTATTCTGCTATGTTCAATTGTATTCTTCATACTATAAAAATAATGCCACGGAATTCTAAGCAAATCTTGTCTGCTAAATGAACTAGTGTAGCCCACAGCCATGTGGCATAGCCAGATCAGGACCTAACATAAGGACAACTCAGAGTATGCTATTCTGTTCTTCTGAAGTTGACTACAATTTTCTTCATATCATGCTTCTTTAGCCCCGTCTAAAATAAATACTGGATTTATTGTGATGGTGTAGGCTATATTACATGGATTTATTAGAATTTTTAAAATGTAGATGTTCCAAAGGTCTGCATCAGTGGCTTGTAGGCTATGTGTGGAAGCCATGAGATGCTAAATGTGTTTATGTTAATAAACGGTCAATTACTGTGAGACCGGCAGTTATTTGCTTGACAATCACCGGCTGAGAAAATGTCATGACCGCCACAGCCCTACTTAACAGAAAGCCATAGCTCACCTTCACTGTAACCTAACAGAAAGCCATAGCCCATCTTCACTGTAATCTAACAGAAAGCCATAGCCTACCTTCACTGTAACCTAACGGAAAGCCATAGCCCATCTTCACTGTAATCTAACAGAAAGCCATAGCCTACCTTCACTGTAACCTAACAGAAAGCCATAGCCAACCTTCACTGTAATCTAACAGAAAGCCATAGCCTACCTTCACTGTAACCTAACGGAAAGCCATAGCCCATCTTCACTGTAATCTAACAGAAAGCCATAGCCTACCTTCACTGTAACCTAACAAAGCCATAGCCAACCTTCACTGTAACCTAACAAAGCCATAGCCTACCTTCACTGTAACCTAACAGAAAGCCTACCTTCACTGTAACCTAACAGAAAGCCATAGCCTACCTTCACTGTAACCTAACAAAGCCATAGCCCACCTTCACTGTAACCTAACAAAGCCATAGCCCACCTTCACTGTAACCTAACAAAGCTATAGCCCAGCTTCACTGTAACCTAACAGAAAGCCCACCTTGTGGCTGAATAGGTGGTGACATACCTGTTGTAGTTTTGTGAGACCCACCTTGGCGGAGGGGGACTTGGCTCTGTGAGGGCTGCCAACACCCCCCATGCCCAGCCGCGAGCCCCCCAGCTTTTCCTCCGTCATCACGCGGTCCCTCTCCTCCTCCGGGAGACTCTGGGGAAACAGAACCGACATGGAGGCCTGTCATAGACTTCCACTTCTAAAACTCAGGCCAGCCAAGAGTGTGTAGTGCAGGGTTCTTCAATTCCGGTCCTGGAGGGCCGAAACTTCTGTTTTTGATTTCTACCTGGTAGTTAATTGCATTCACCTGGTGTCCCAGGTCTGAATTAGCCCCTGATTAGAAGGAGAGGATGAAAAACAGAGGTGTTTCGGCCCTCCAGGACCGGAATTGAAGAACCCTGGTGTAGTGTGATATGTACAGTACTATAGATATGGATATATTCAGTTCTACTTACCTCTAGAAACCTCTGTAGGTCAATTTCGTACTGCTTCTTTTTCTGTTGCCAGACACACCAGCACCGGGGAGAAAGAGCATTGATCCGATTTGTGAATGACAACAATACATAAACTTTGTCATCATGGTTCACCAAACCGAAACCCTTTCAAACCTTCACAATACATATTCGGCTAAAAACAGGTATTTCACTGTATTTTCAGCAAAGTTCCCCAGATGCAGCATGACATGGCAGCAAAAACAAACAATTGCAGCCAATAGAGGCCAAAATAATGAAAGCAGCTATTAAGGAGGCAGAGCTACGAAATAAAATAGAAAATACTGGAGATTCATTGCATCTCCCCCCCTTGAACGGAGCTGAACAAGACTGACCTGCTCGCAGCGTTTCTGAAACATGTCCTTCTCCTTCTGCGTCATCATCTTCCACTGCTTACTGCACAGCACCATACGCTCCGTACTGGGAACATCCTTCATGTTCACCATCAGCTCAGCGCAGTATAGGGAGTAACCATTCCTGAAGACCAAAAAGCCAAGCTACCTAGTTCAGCGCCATAGAATTCGACGAGGACAAAGGTCTTTAAACTCCACGGGTGTTTTCACAGAGAAACCAAGAGCTACTGTTTACATAAGGATCCCCAATACATAATCTCTGGAAAAAAATGCCTGAGGGCAAAAATCCCTTTTGGTCTTTTCAGTCCTGCCAAGCGATTGTGCCCGAGTCTGGTTGCGCTGCTGATACTAGATCACGTCCTGGCGATGGGGGTTTGCTACCCCCTACTCCACATTCTGCCACCCCCTACTCCACATTCTGCCACCCCCTACTCCACATTCTGCCACCCCCTACTCCACATTCTGCTCCCCCCTACTCCACATTCTGCTACCCCCTACTCCACATTCTGCTACCCCCTACTCCACATTCTGCCACCCCTACTCCACATTTCTGCCACCCCCCACATTCTCTACTCCCTACTCACATTCTGCCACCCCCTACTCCACATTCTGCCCACCCCTGACTCCACATTCTGCTACCCCCTACTCCACATTCTGCTCCCCCTCCCACATTGCTACCCTATCCACATTCTGCTACCCCCTACTCCACATTCTGCTACCCCCTACTCCACATTCTGCCACCCCCTACTCCACATTCTGCCACCCCCTACTCCACATTCTGCCACCCCCTACTCCACATTCTGCTCCCCCCTACTCCACATTCTGCTACCCCCTACTCCACATTCTGCTACCCCTACTCCACATTCTGCTACCCCCTACTCCACTTGTCCAATATTCTTTCAATAAAATAATGTGACTCCGATCAAGCGAACTTACGGCGGTGGTTTGGTTGGCCTGCCGTCGAACTTGTCCTTGAGCTGCCGCTCAGCTTTGGTGAGGACGGACTTGACGTGCTCTTCAGCGTCTGGATGGGCCTCCTGGTAGACTCTCATACAACCCTGTAGATAACCATGGATTCAAACTTTTCGGGTGACAAATATTTGAGACAATTTCTCCTCATCAAGCCTTAAAAAAACTAAAAAAAACAACGCTGAAATTGTCATTGATTGTGCAAAAAAGGGGATGAAATACTATTTATTTCGAATGTAAGGCTGCGTTTACACAGGCAGACCAATTCTGATCTACTTTCCAATAATTGGTCCTTTGACCAATCACATCAGATCTTTTCACCTCAGATATTTTTCAGAGCTGATCTGATTGATCAAAAGACCAATTAGTGAAACGTGTAAACGCAGCCTTACTCTCTAGGCAGTGTATATCACATACGAAGTGGCAAATTTGCTGGTTTCCTCTACCAGGAAAAAAAACAGTAGAGGATTACGGAGTTGTGTCTTGAGGCGCTATCCTGTGGCGCCTCAAGGCCCTTCACATCTAACCTCTTACCGCATAGTCTTTCTGCAGCTCCAGGGCCTTGCTGATCCATTTGAGTCTCTTCTTGTCTGAGAGCTGGGACCACTGTCTCCTCAGAGCCTCCTTCAGTTCCTTCTGGCTCACCTGGTAACCCCAGAGAAAGGAATGGCATTCGTCATTCACCACAAATAATTACAAAAAAAAAAGGGACATTTTCTTGTGAGGGTAAGTTCAAGGAAGCGCAACAGTTTCATTCCGTGAAATCCCAGACTTAGCTGGGCGGATTTCCCCCTGCGCACACACTCTCACATCGGGGTGGAGCTTCACGTAGGTCTTCTTCTCATGGTTGTACCACAGCTGCTGGGGCGTCTTGGGCTTCTCAGGAAGGTCCGACTTCTTTCTCTCCTCTATCAACTCCGGGTAGTCCTCTCTGGGGAACAAGACCAAAGACGTTAAGGCGACTGTATATGGGTGGTATACCCTTTCAACCAGCAGATAGAGGACAGTGATCACCTGGTTTCTTTTCAAGGAAAGTCTGCCAGTTTTGGAAAGCGTTGCTTATTATTTAGCACAGGAAGCTAATTTGGCCACTGAAGGCTGGCTTCAACGATACAGAAAATGCCACTCACTTGAAACGGGCCATATTCTTCTCAAAGGACTCCTTCTCTCGCTGAAACTCTGTGATGTACTTTTGCTGTGGGTAACAGAGAATAACCCTCACTCAATTAGTTGTTTTCTATACAGTGATGCCATGTATAGATTTGGGATCTGCCTTGAATTAAATAAAAGATTATCCCAAAGGTATAATGAAAGGACTTGACCATCACCTTTTTCTTGTCTGGGAGCTCCTTGTATTTCTTGGACAGAATCTTGGTGAGGTCAAGGTTGCTCATCTCCGGGTGGATCTTGGCATACTTGGCTCGCTTCTCCATGAAGAACCGGAAATACGGCGTAAGGGGTTTCTTTGGGAAGTCTGGGTGTGTCTAAAAGGATGGAAAACAGAACAATGGTCATTCATATGGTAGAAGATGTGAGATTGACAAGTATAACCCTAGTATTTTGAATCAAATCAAATGTTATTGGCCACATGCGCCGAATACAACAGGTGCAGACATTACAGCGAAATGCTTACTTACAACCCTTAACCAACAGTGCATTTATTTTTTAATAAAAAAAGTAAAATAAAACAACAAAAAAGTGTTGAGAAAAAAAAGAGAGCAGAAGTACAAGGTAAAACCTGATTGCTTACCTTCAATTTCTTCCCTCTGTAAGGGTTCTTCACAAACTCAATGGCATCAACTATGAGCTCGGTCATAGTCCTAAACTTCCGCACCTGAACACATAGTATCAATTGGATTAAGGCCTAACCTGAAATTATGTTGTAAACATTTTTTTTTTCATGGTGCCGTGTTTCATTTCACAACGGTACGATTTTTCCAGTAGAAAAAGAGACATTACAGACATTGCTTTCTGTCATTTCTGTGACACTTCCCTGCACAAATTCTAAACATTAAATCGATGTTCTGCTGTTGTGATTGGCTAACCTCAGTGGACACCTTCGCCCACTTCTGTTTGCACATGTCGCCGGTGAAGCCTCCGAAGCACACCTTCTCCCAGTCAAAGTGGGACTCGGTGGTCTTGTATTTCATGGCATCACTATCAGGCAACAGGCTCCGAATTCTCTCCAAAAGAGTGAGGCAATCCTCCTTACTCCATGCATCCACAACTGGAACATAGACAATCACACAACCACACACATCCATCAAGCAACATCAACGAGCAGGTGTGTTTCGCTTGTTTTGACTGGCCTTTTATTAGACACAATAAACCTCAAGTTGACCCCAGAATAGATAAACAACCGTCAGACAAATCCAAGTAAATGTCAAATACACAGTGATCTTTCAAAAATCAACCAGAATTCAACACATCAGTTATCCTGACTGTGAGAAACCTGAGACTACCACTAAACAACTTTCCAGGCAAGATTATAAACGGAAATCATACACTTACATCCCATGATGAAGGGTGGTTTTAGTTATGTACCCTACCTGGTTCTGTTTTTATCCGGATGGTCTGGGAGGCAGAGGACACACTGCTGCTGCCGTTCATGGTTCAGCGTCTGTGGGCAGCTCAACTGACCTGGCTTCTAGAGATTCTGGAACCACAAATGCATCACATATTTAGGGTCCTGTCTGTCACAACTTTAGAAAAATTACCATTATAGACAAATTAACTATGGCTAAAAGTGGAAATATGCACAGAGAGAACTGTCCCAAAAAAAACTCACCAATTCCAATATGCATAAAGATATGTATCTACACGAGAATGTATCTCAAGTTCAAGAACTGACTCATGACGTTCCATTCAGGTGTTCTAATGTAATTCTATGGTTCCATCCACGACTAAATTAGTTACAAAATATTGATATGGAGAAGGTGCACGTCTTGACAATTATTCAGCTGATGAAGCACCTTTATGCACAAGGTCAAACGTATTTACTACAAGTAGGGTAACCAATAGGCAATGCACAAAGAAGATTTCAAAAGCTACACTTGACACAAAATAGGGACACGTATTTCTGATACCGCAAAAGTCGGTCATGCGGATGCTCCGCCCAAGTCTACACTACTATCCATCCTTTCCCATATGAGGGAACATCGTGTACTTCTGAAAAGAGTGGCACACAATACGATTCACGGAGAGGACCGATGAATTTATTGTTTCATGGTGTTGTTTTTCAATGGCAGCCGAATGGATACATCTTATTAATTCGTCTGGAGATTGCGGCTTTTCGGAACGTTATTATCAAAGCGCTCAGCCAAGCGCAGCTGACCTTTCACTGTGGTGGATAGCTTACGGATGTGATGGCGCCGTGAGAGCAAGTTTTTGCTTGTCAACTGAGCAATTGATAAAATGCTGCAGTTTAAAATAAGCGTTTAAATACTCTAGAACAGAGTATCTTTAGAAATGAGTTAGTGCTGAGCCCAGCAATCCAAACACGGGCGTTTCCAAATTCGAAGCCTCGGTCTCGACTCCGGACGTGAGATGCAAGTGTTGTGTGCCTGCCCACATCCTCGCCTGTCACCCGGTACGACAGGAGAGCGTTAAGGCGCTTATAATAGCATAGGCCTATAGGCTACATATAGTGTATGCTAATATAGTCCAAATGAGCGCTATATGCAACCGTTCTTTATTAATTTGTGCGGTATGTTTTTAAAATGAATAAGATAATGCAGAATTTTCGACAAACGCACGGTCTCTCTGCGGTTCGTACCAAAAGGGATGCAAAGGGGCCATGCAGTCATCTCGAGGCGCATAGTTCCGCCGCCACCGTTGGCCTTTTCAGCTTCTTTTCCATCAGGCCTATACCCCTGACCCGCATAGCCTAGATAGGCTAACTAACCGCGACTGTGTCGGTCGATAGATATTGCACCAGGCAACTTTTTTCCCCACCAGGCATAGCACAATGATTAGCCTACATGATAGACCTAAAATCACAAACATTCAACATTTTAATATTCGTTTTATCAGGTTTGCGTGCATATTTGAAAACCAAATAGGCCTAATGAGTGTCAATATTGGGGCCCACTCGGCCGCAAAACTTCACCAGGTACCCGCCATAACACCACTCCTGCCGCTGAACCGCTCTCAAGCCGCTGACAGTTGAGCATTATCCAAATAGTCTTAGCCTAAGCTACAGAAATGCATCCACAACTGTCTCAAAAAACAAATGTAGCCTACGTATTTTTTTTTATTTAAATCAAGATATTTTCCCTTTCCCACATGGGGTGATATGAAACCCCTTAAGATAGTCTAGGCTGGATAATAGGCTTGTCTTGATAGCCTGGGATGGAGGGAGCGTTCTAGAGAAGTGAATATAATGCCGGAACAGCTTGAACATTCCGTGGCGGAGGGCTGAATCAAACTGCCAGAAAGTGCGCGCCTACCCCCGCCCGCTTCCCCCAAGCCGTGGCGCAGCTGTGCACCCGACCGAGGCGTCGCTTTCTCGGTGAAGTGTCATCGTGACCCGCTCACAAGGTCAAACTTCGGGAAAACAACAGATACTGCAAACTTAAAAGAAAATAGGCCTACATTGCACAAAAAAAAAATAATAACATTGTCGCATCCATCTATACATCTACCGATAACAATCCTGGGAATATTGTGCTGCCTAAAACTATGAAAACATAAAATGTTACACTCATCAGACTGCCTTCACATATTTCGAGGGGCCGTGGCATTACTATTTTAATGTCTTTCTATTTTGAATCAAGGCTACAGCCTTTAAGTTTGTCTTGGGAACACCGACCGTTCTTTGCTTGCTACCCCAGTAATGGCGCCCTTATTCAGGCAGGAGTCAAAACGCAGCTTCCGCTGGCATGAAAAAAAAAACATGCTACCAAACCAATTTTTGGAAGACATTATCTATATTTTACACGAAGTAAATTGACAAGAAAACCACTGTCGACTCAATTTCTTATTAGCAGACTGGATGTGTGTTTGTAGCATAGCCTAATTTTGTAGCATAGCCTAATTCGTCAATTTGTGAAAAGTCGTTTTAATGTTAAAATTAGGAGGAGATTGCACTTAACTTTCACTGGGGTTCTATAACAATCAAAAGCAGTAAGTGCAAAGTTCAGAAATGCATATAAAGCTAGAACTTGCTGAAAAACAGATACGCGAGCGGACGCATCTGCTTGCTCTCGCCCCAAAGCTCTCACTGCAGAGCCGCCATGAGTGTTACAAAGACTCGGGGAGACACGACTTGAAAATCGCTTATAACGTCGTCAAAACACAACTTTTCACTCACCTTTCGTGGCAGTAAGAAACCAGCGTTGTTACTACAAATCAAGGTAATCGTGTTAATTATTTTTGGGCTGTTTAAGTGTCGTTTTTTCAGCCGTAAACCCCGGGGAGTCAGGTCGGAACGGATCCGACAAAAGGAGCGTCTGGTTCGGTATGAAACTCCGCCCAGCGCCGCAGGGGGAGGAACTCCAAGTAAAAACATGCGAGAAAGACGGGAGACAAAGGCGGAGGCTGAAACTAAAAACATACGGCAGTATTTCATAAGAAATAGCTAGATCGTGATGCTGTAATTTATCTTTAATGAATAGCGCATTTAGTTTACACATTTTATCGATGTAATATCATTTGGATATTTGTAGACAATTCATGACTGTCTTTCATTCTTATAGAGATGATCAAAAGTGTCTTCTTATATACTCAATTCTAGCTAGACATTTATCCACCACATCCTTCATTTTAGCAGTGTCCATGAAATGCTAAACCGATCAGCCTACCCTACCCTATCCTAGGCGCCCACACGTTTCCGGGAATTACAGGGACTCAGAACGAGCTACAGTGGGATTTGAGAGATCCTGGGATGGACAATTCCTAGTTTCATCCCGGGCTCGGAATCGAAAGGCATGGGGAAATAAATTAAATGTTCAAGTAGTCTAGCCTTACTGTAGCACTAGCAAGCAATAGATTTGCGTACAGGTGACCTGCAAATATCCAAACTCTTTTGCTAATGCCTATCCACAATCTGAAATTACAATAGGCTGCGGACATACTTCACTTTCCCCTCAGTCCCCCTTTCATGTGGGCTAACAACACAGCCGTCACGCACATTTACAGCCGTGGAATTAAGTGAAACTGGCCAATAGACGGGGAAAGGAGGAGACCGCCCTTCACTGCTTCTTCTTCTTCTTCTTCTTCTTCTTCTTCAGTGGTGTTGATCGGCGGTTGGCATCCAAGGTTATGGTGCATTACCGCCACCTACTCTACTGGAGTGTGGGCCAGAGACCGGGAGAAACTACCTGCCAGCCCCGTTGTTCTTCAAAAAGATGATAAAATATTTGAGACTATATCTAATGACGTTCTACTCAATACACCCTTTAAACTAATTTCCTATATCCCCTTCTCCCTCATACTAGATCTCATCCTCTCTCTTTCCCTCTGATACTGCCCACACTGTAGCAATACATGCTCCACGGTCTCTGTTTCCTGACAATAGTCACACTTTCCTGTTGGATGCTTTCATACCACATTTAATGTCTTATTCAACTGGCTGTGACCCACCCTTAATCTTGTAAAAATAGCCTCCTCTCTTCTGTCCCTTCCTGCCGTCCTCCCCTCCCCGACTTTCCTCTGTACTTGAAGTAAATGCCTTCCCTTATTATCTCTATTCCACTGCTCCTGCCATCTCTGCACCATCACTGTATATATCAGTATTTTTGCCTCTGCCTTGCTCATTGAAACTTACCTGTATCCTATTTCTACAGCCGAGTAAGCAATTCAGACATTTCCGAGTTTCCGACATGACATGAACGCGGCATAACTGTAGACCTATCAGGATAGGCTGTGGCCTGTGGTGTGTCACGTGAAAAAACTGAGCTGGTGACCTTTTTACAATGTATAGGCCTACGTGTAGCAGTACCCTAGCAGTAGACGATGTAATTAAAGATTATGAACCTATTCTTTCTATGATTGTCCAGAGTCATTTACCATGCACTCATTATACTTTTAGTTCAAACTTTGACAATGCCAGCAGTGACTGATACACATTTCCTTTATGGGAGTTTTAGGTGAGAAGAATGTGTACCATACATAATGTATAGCCTATATCCTTATGTCTACTTTAAATGTATCATGTGTAGGTAACCCCCCCCCCCCCCACACACACACACACACACACACACACACTTTTGTACATGGACAGACACAGCCTTGCAAATAGAAAAGAAAAACAACTTTTACACACATCTGTTTCAGTTCATCATTAAGATACATTTATTTGTACATATATAAAAATAACATTTAAAATCAGCCAAAGCCCTAATTCTACAAACTTGACATGGATAAGAGCAAGGAAGATTGTCTATTTTAACATATTGCAATGTAGCTAAAGCCGAAGCACTTGAACCATGATTGATTCCTAAGAAAATATATGGATATATTTGTATAATATATTTTCTTTCTTCTTTATTTCTCACTCTAATTTCTACATCCCTGCATGTCAACAATAGATTTGAAATATAAAATGCTATAATATTTGCAGTTTAAAAAAAAAGAACAATACAATGTGAGAGAACATGAGTTAACAAATATTTTAGCATATTTCTGGGTGCTAGCTTCGCAACATTGCTTTGGGAAAACGGTGAGGAGAGAGGATGTGACCTGGTGAACTTGACAAGGCACACAAATTGAAAACTGTAACATCAGCAAGCAAATCTGCAACAGAGGCAATGTTTTGGACAGTACGATAACAACAAAACACATACAAGGGATCCAGTGGCTTCATTTGCAGTGATTCAACGAGACACAGTATTTCTACTGCATTATTTAGAAAACACTTTTGGAATACTTGCAAACAACTGTATTGCATGAGGTTTAACTTCAATGTGGTAGAAAGTAAACAACCTCTGTTATGGCTGCATGTGTTGTTACAACACATTCAGGTGACATTTGAAGCTGGAAACAGCAGTCCCCTGTAGCTCAGTTGGTAGAGCATGGCGCCTGCAATGCCAGGGTTGTGGGTTCATTTCCCACGGGGGGGCCAGTATGAAAATGTATGCACTCACTAACTGTAAATCGCTCTGGATAAACGCGTCTGCTAAATGACTAAAATGTGGCTAGCCGTATTGTCTTTATAGATATGAGTAGCTACTAGGGCCTAAGTAAATAGATGTGCGTACATACTTAAAAATGCCTTGATTTGTATGGAATAGAATGTCTCTGACTTTTGGTGACTGTACATTAAAGCCATAATCATACCCATGCTGTACTACACAATTATCTCATAACTGAGATTTCATGTGATTTCCCTCCCAAAGAAGATGGAAAGCTCAGTTGGCTTAACTGATTGCGTTTTCACATTGGTGCTTTCAGATCACACCGATTTGTAGTGTATGTCGCTTTAACTCGTTCAGGCACAGCCACATAGCCGGACCTCATATGTAGGCAAAGCATGGAAGGCCGTAATCTCTAAACTCTCGAACAAAACAAGGTGCCATATACAAACATACACGCTACACAGTTACTACAGTTAAATGGAGTCAAGAGAAATGGGCGGAGATGTTGTTCAGACAGTTAAACAAGGACTATACAACTATGGTAGGAGTGCACGGCAGTGAGAATCAAGTGACTCACTTAAAAGTGGTATGTAGTGTATTCAGGTATGATGGACTATTTATGTAATGGGACCAAACGTCTTTAACATGTTTGGAGAAGCACAGTGGTGAGATCTAAGCAGCAAAGGGGTCGGTCGAAAGTCACTTGTATGTGCTCTTTAAAAAAATACAATGTTTGTCAGTCCTACAGGATAGGGAAAAAATGTGGACACATTTACTTTCTGAGGCACAGATTGTCAAATTAATTAGTAAAGACTTCCACTGTGTACCATCCCAAATATACACCAGGGGTACTGTAGTGCTACTTTATCTACAGGCCTGTATTTATTCAATCGCAAATAATGAATCAGTTTGAATGAGGGCTGCTTTTAAAGGGCGACTGCACTTCCTGATTTGGCCTCATTTTAGATTTGGTTCATTAAGAAATACTAGCGGCCAAGACTGAATTTAAACCTCGAGTTGGTTTCGGGGTGTGGTTGGACGTGGGTGTCTCGTGTGTGTGTGTTCACAGGTGGGAAGAGTTATTTAGCCAATTAGCTTCAGCTGGCTGGTGTGTGACAGTGGCAAAGTTAGTTTGACCTTGGATAGCCTATCTCCTGGGGCTAGTTAGAGACCGTCAATAAATTACACAATGTAAATTAGACAATATTTTCATGTTGTACACATTTTAGTTTTCTCATTAAACACTTTCAATATTTGTATATGAATTTCTACAATTTATAGTTGGTTTGAGGTTTTTAAGTGATTGAAATTTGGAACAATTGGAATTTTAACATAATGTCCCATATACATTGTGTAATTTACCAATGATCTCTAACTAGCCCCATAGGAATATCCAAAGTCAACCCAAATTTACCACAGGCATTAAGATCGGGTCACGTGCAGCTGCACTCGGAATTGATGATTGCTTGTGGGCTGCCAGCTGGGGGCATGTGGGCAGGGTTGAAACAAACCCAACCTTCATTTACGCTGTGATGCAGTCATGACCACAAGTCTCACAAAACTCAGTTTTGGACGAGACTGACTTCATGACCTAAATTATCCTATTTACACTTTGTAGTCAATTTCGACAGTAGAATACATGTTTCTGACTCATAGTGATGCCACAGAGACTGTTTTCTAAATGAGAAGTTAGTTTTTAGGGACAGTTGCTCTTTAAACAACAATATAACAGATTTAGGCACCCCTATTCTTAATTTATCATACCCCTGTAAACACACTCCCATAACCTGAACAGACCCTGTCCACTAGAACAAAACACATTAGATTCAATCACTTACCCACTGTACCTGATTCTAAAACAAACTCTTCGGCGTGCTTGATTACACTGTTACAGACCGTACATCATCATAACCAACTTGCATAGCCACATAGCATATGTGATAACGCCACCACAGAAGCAAACAGAAGACACTGTAAACCAGAAATAATTATCTCTCCAGAAGTCTTGAATAGGCGCTGGATATAGGCTACGGGGGGGCCAGTATGAAAAATAAAAAAATAATGTATGCACTCACTAACTGTAAGTCGCTCTGGATAAGAGCGTCTGCTAAATGACTAAAGTGTAAAGTGTATACACTGCAATGGTAAACAGCAGCTTTTACGTTGACACCAATCCTTTACTTTGACACATATCAAATCCAACTCACACCTGAAATTAAAACATACCCCAAAATACCGCAAAGATACATAAAAACATTATTCAACATTGTAACAATGACTCAAATAATTTCTAAGTATAAATCCACCTTCCGAAAAGCAAAATAGTAAAAACAGATAAAAAAACATGATTTGGGAGTTGGGACTCTAAAAACCTTTCAAACCATCAGTGGTGCGTTATAAAATATCAGGTTAACAAACAAAGGATTTGGTGGGTTAGGAGCAACTTCCTGGAATATAGGACTAGGGTGCCTATTGGTCGGCAGGATGTCCATCACGTTGTCCCCAACCAATCATCATACAGGCATGTGCATATCTGTGTACTCATCCTGTCCCTCCTTCTCATCAAACTTAGGTTCTGCGTCATCTGCATCCAACTAAGACACAAAGAGAGAGCAGCGATAGAAGTCAGGGGTAAAGGTTATGGCCAGGGTTCAGCTGCATACGGTATCAGACTTTCCCATAGATTATTTCCCAGGCAAAGGCCCCCAAAGCAACATCCAACTGTATACTAAAACCAATAAAAGGCCAACTATTTTAGGCAACCGTGTGTGTGTGTGTGTGTGTGTGTGCGCGTGCATGCATGCATGCATCCATCCATCCATCCATATGGTTAGACTTACACACTGCATCTCACGCGTGGTGAAGATGCGGGGCAGCAGGAACCATTTGACGGGCACGGTGAGGATGAGGACGAAGGGGAATGCCAGCGAAGCCGCGGTGGACATGACCGCCCACAGTGCCGCCAGACACACCAACTGGATCCCTGTGAACAGGTGCATCCGCAGGGTCCTCACCTGGACCACACACATATGAGAGTATCAGTAGTAGTAGTAGTAGTAGTAGTAGTAGTAGTAGTAGTAGTAGTAGTAGCAGTAGTAGTAGAAGTAGCAGTAGTAGTAGAAGTAGCAGTAGTAGTAGTAGTAGAAGTAGCAGTAGTAGTAGAAGTAGTAGTAGTAGTAGTAGTATCATTAGTAGTAGTATCAGTAGTAGTATTAGTAGCAGGAGTAGTAGAAGTAGCAGGAGTAGTAGTAGTAGCAGTAGCAATGGTAGTAGAAGTAGCAGTAGTAGTAGAAGTAGCAGTAGTAGTAGAAGTAGTAGTAGTAGTAGTAGTATCATTAGTAGTAGTAGTAGTAGTAGTAGTAGTAGTAGTAGTAGTAGTAGTAGTATCATTCGTAGAAGTAGAAGTAGTAGTAGAAATAGCAGTAGTAGTAGTAGTAGTAGTAGTAGTAGTAGTAGTAGTAGTAGTCAGTATCGAGTAGAAGTAGAGTAGTAGTAGTAGTAAAGTAGCAGTAGTAGTAGTAGTATAGTTAGCAGTAGTAGTAGTCATTAGCGTAGTAGCAGTAGTAGTAGTAGTAGTAGCAGTAGTAGTAGTAGTAGTAGTCAGTAGAGTAGTAGCAGTAGATAGTAGTAGTAGAGTAGCATAGTAGTAGCAGTAGTAGCAGTAGTAGTATAGCAGTAGTAGTAGTAGTCAGTAGTAGTAGCAGTAGTAGAGTAGTAGTAGCAGAGTAGAGTAGTAGTAGCAGGTAGTAGCAGTAGTAGTAGTAGTAGTAGTACAGTAGTAGCAGTAGTGGTAGTAGCAGTAGTAGCAGTAGTAGTAGTAGAGGCAGTAGTAGCAGTAGTAGTAGTAAGTAGTATAGCAGTAGTATTAGTAGTAGCAGCAGTATAATCCTTCCCTTTAGATCCTAAATTAACTTTTACAAGATAAAAACCAGTGTTGTATGCAATAAAGTTTTGCTCAGCCACTCAGCACAGCATTTGGGGGGTTGGGGTGTGGTTGGGGTTTTGTGGTACTGACCTTGCGGACATAGGTATGGTCAGGATGATACTTGGGGGGCATCAGCAGCAGCAGCATGCGCTCAGTGAGCTGGATACCGTTGAGGGACATGACACCCATATAGAGGAAAATCCCAAAGAGCACGGCGATGGGGATTTGGCGCAGGAGATCTCCGATCACAATGGACAAACCTAGCCAGGAGAGGACAGACGTGAGAAGATAGTTTTTCCTTGGAAATGAACACATCATTTATGTTGCGCATGTGTCACGGGTGGCAAAACTTCAGAACCGTTTCCAAGCTTCCCAGGTCTCTGAGAAATCCTGGTTGGAGGATCCTCAGTTGGAGGATCCTGTTGGAGGATTCCCAGTTGGAGGATCCTCTCCCTGCTTATTCCCTCCTGATTCCAGAAGAATCCTCCAACCAGGATTTTTGGAAAACCTGTGAATTTTGGGAACGTTTCTGGAATTATGCAACCCTAATCTCGATTTAGGCCCGTTCCCTAAATTAGAGGGGTCATGCCTACCGACGAACAGAGCTACGAGGAAGCCCGTCACCCTCTGCTCTTTCACTTCCTGGATACGGGGCTTGTCGCCGGGGGCCACCGCCTTGCTCATGACGGTAAGGGCGTTGGCGTGGGTGACAGAACGCACGGTGGCGGCAGCCAACCAGGGCAGGCCGAAGAGGGCCGAAACCCCACCTATGGCCACAATGATGAGCAGGTCCAGGTGGAAGCCGGAGCCCTTCAACAGCATCCGCTCCTTCTTGCTGACTATCAGCCTGACGGAAGGAAAGAAAGAGAGAGCAAAGAAAAAGAGGAAGTGGAGAAGAGATAAAAGTATAAAAACATAGTAGATGGAGGGAGAGAGAGAAAGAGTGAGGAGGTAGAGAGAGAAAGAGTGAGGAGGTAGAGAGAGAAAGAGTGAGGAGGTAGAGAGAGAAAGAGTGAGGAGGTAGAGAGAGAAAGAGTGAGGAGGTAGAGAGAGAAAGAGTGAGGAGGTAGAGAGAGAAAGAGTGAGGAGGTAGAGAGAGAAAGAGTGAGGAGGTAGAGAGAGAGAGTGAGGAGGTAGAGAGAGAAAGAGTGAGGAGGTAGAGAGAGAAAGAGTGAGGAGGTAGAGAGAGAAGGAGTGAGGAGGGAGAGAGAGTGAGATGCTTGTATTAGGGTCTTTCTATAAACTAGGGTACCAGTGAGGATTTCCTACACTGGACAACATGTTACAGCTGTTGATAAGTCATTGTTAATAATCGGGCAATTTTTTTTCATGTCATAATGTTAACATATACGGGGGGGGGGGGGGGGGGGGGGGGGGTCATAGCTAATTTAAAACTTTTAACACTTTATCATGGTTGGTGTCTTCGCGGATTTGTCCAAAATCGTGTGACATAAAACATTACTTTTCTGTCCTTGCATTTATGGCAGTGCAAGATGAAGATATATCATATATAAAGCATTAATCAGTTAAATTAGATATTGAACTTGAACTCTGTAAGAATCCTGGATCTAGCTGTCGGACAGTTTTTTTGTATAGAGATCTTAGAAATGCAGTGTAACTACGTAACATTTAGTGTTTCCTTATGTTACGTGGTGAAAACAGTTTTCATTGGCACACAAATCCCAAATAATAAATGTGATTGTAAAATTGAATGCTTCTAACCGAAAGACTCGCCTTACCTTGATACTTAAAACCTAAATCAATAATTTCATTAACGCGGTTCTTCAATAATTATGCATATAATTGTTGGATGCGCATTTGGTGTCCAGCTGATTAGCTTACAGCGTGATATTTTCACACGTCATCATCTGATCCAGGAAGACATTTTCTGAATGACAGTCAAGTGACGAACAGCTGTTGTGATAGCACATGTGAAGCAACAAACAGCCCAAGTGCTGGAAAAAAAAAAAAAGAAGGTGTTCGCAAGGAATGTTCGAATATTTTGGTGTCACATTCGTTACGCTGGTGAAGACAGTTGTGCCTAGATCCACCTTGGATCTAATATACCTAGTGAATTGATGTTGATCATCTGTTGTTGTCTGCTTGATTTACAACAGGGTTTCGTTAGATTTAACAGAGAAAGCATCAAGGTAATGTGCTCATGTTTTCATATGTTTTTGTGCCTCCGATTGGACACGGAGTCTACTGTGCGCAATTGTGTAGGATAGACTATTGTGCAACACCCAACGCTAGTCCTATTAATTATTCTGGATATAATGACCAAAAAATGCATAGCCTAGGTGACTTATTCACAATATGATCTGGTAATGAAATAACATCACAAATACATTTTTGTTTTCCATGTACACCAGCAATTTTTATAAAAAGCACGAGCTGGATAAATTATTTTGTGTAGAGGTGCTGCTGACTAACGGTGAATAAACTCTAAACTATCAAATGAATAAAGAGAGTTGCACACTCTATACATAAACTCCCAGTAATACGTTGGGTAAACCACCAACTTTTCGGCATCACTGGGCCTTCTTCATTGTGGGATGTTAAACTTGAAGTAACCCTACTTGAACTTGAAGCTCGGAAATTCAAGTACTGGAATAGGACTACCTCGACATTTCCTCAATTTGGTGATGAAAAGTCCTTGTAATCACCGTAGCCAATTTATAAATTCTCCTGCTCCCTTACAACTATCTGTGATTACATGTTTGATCCGTTTTTGTGAGAGATGTGGCCACTTTCGCTTCGTTTCCTACTGCTTCAATTGAAGGGTGTTGCGCTACTCTGCTGTGGTAAAACCACATGTGGTTATTACGAGGACGACAACGTCTAATGCTGGCTTCAACTTGGCTTTCCAAACAAATCCTTCCATTATCAAATCAAATCAAATCAAATGTTATTTGTCACATGCGCCGAATACAGTTAAATGCTTACTTACAAGCTACCGCATATCATGGATTTATTATGTATGCCTACGTCGGCCGCTACAGAAAAATCACAATGCATCCACTTCACATCCAATCGATTTAGTCAGGCAATGTCCACATTATTCTCACATATTTTAGAATGTAATAATAATTGGAATATCAAGACTTTGGCAAGGCCTTAAAAATGCATTATTCTTAAAGTGGTAATGACCTACTTTTTTTGGGGACACTTTTTGCATGCTTTCTGGGGAGAGGAGGGTTCTATATTAGGCCCTATATGTACAATGATATACATTATAAAATTATGTAACACTGAAGTCCTTGAAAATTACAATTAAGTGCTTGAAAAAGTCCCTGAAAGTCCTTGAATTTGACTTGCCATTTTAAAAAAAATATTTAACTTTTATTTTGACAGTTAATTCATACTGAGAGTAGGGTCTCTTTTACAGATGAGGCCTGCATAAATACATCAAACACATACAATATACAATATACGAAATTACTGAACATATTAAGAAAAACAGACACATTTATCAACATAGAGGTCTCTGACCATTACTCTAAACTGACCAAGGGGGACCAGAACATCTCATTTCAGAGAGCTCTGTAAGTTGTTCCACATAAAGGGCGCAAAAACCCAACTCTGTGGAGACCGAGCCTGAGACTGAGTTTGGTAATTTGTAAGTCTAAACTGAATTAATGATGATAGATACAGTACATAGGAAGTTTCTACATGAGTGCTTTGTAGATCAACACAAGACAATGCTGCTCTCTCCTTACATACAAAAAGGCCCAACCCACTTTTTGATACAAAACACAATGGTGAGTTCTAGAACCATCACCAGTAATAAACCTAAGAACAATGGAAAACAGCATCTAGTGGTTTAAGTGTAAATGCTGCTGCATACATATAGGAAATATCTCCATAATATAAAATAGACATAAAAATGGCCTGAACAATTTCCTTTTAATTTCCTTTATTTTTATTTTTTACTTGTTATTATTCAGGGTAGCCCAATTGAGACCAGGGTCTCATTCCCAATGGTGTCCTGAGTAATAAAAAATAAATAAATGTATTAACAAAAGTCAGACATGCCTTGTTTCTGTAAAAGAAACCAACCTTGAATTTCTACTTCTGAGAACTTCAATGTCTGTATGAACCTGCTTATAGTCCTAGGTCTATGTTGTTGTATAGGTGGAGTTATGGGCCAATTTGCATACACTACCAGTCAAAGGTTTGGACACACCTACTCATTCAAGGGTTTTTCTTTAGTTTTTACTATTTTCTACATTGTAGAATAATAGTGAAGACATCAAAACTATTCAAAAACACATATGGAAACATGTAGCAATCAAAAAAGTGTTAAAAAAATCAAAATATATTTTATGTTTAAGATTCTTTAAAGTAGCCACCCGTTGCCTTGATGACAGCTTTGCACACTCTTGGTATTCTCTCAACCAGCTTCATGAGGTAGTCACCTGGAATACATTTCAATTAACAGGTGTGCCTTGTTAAAAGTTAATTTATGGAATTTCTTTCCTTCTTAATGCGTTTGAGCCAATCAGTTGTGTTGTGACAAGGTAGAAGAAGATAGCCCTATTTAGTAAAAGACCAAGTCCATATTATGGCAAGAACAGTTCAAATAAGCAAAGAGAAATGACAGTCCATCATTACTTTAAGACATGAAGGTCAGTCAATACGGAAAATGTCAAGAACTTTGAAAGTTTCTTCAAGTGCAGTCACAAAAACCATCAAGCGCTATGATGAAACTGGCTCTCATGAGGACGGCCACAGGAAAGCAAGACCCAGAGTTACCTCTGCTGCAGAGGATAAGTTCATTAGAGTTAACTGCACCTCAGATTGTAGCCCAAATAAATGCTTCACAGAGTTCAAGTAACAGACACATCTCAACATCAACTGTTCAGAGGAGATTGCGTGAATCAGGCCTTCATGGTCGAATTGCTGCAAAGAAACCACTACTAAAGGACACCAATAAGAAGAAGAGACTTGCTTGGGCCAAAAAACTTGAGTAATGGACATTAGACCAGTGGAAATCTTTCCTTTTTGAGTCCAAATTTGAGATTTTTGGTTCCAACCGCCGTGTCTTTGTGAGACGCAGAATAGGTGAACGGATGATCTCTGCATGTGTGGTCCCCACCGTAAAGCATGGAGGAGGGGGTGTCATGGTGTGGGGGTGCTTTGCTGGTGACATTGTCTGTGATTTATTAAAAATTCAAGGCACACTTAACCAGCATCTGCAGCGATACACCATCCCATCTGGTTTGCGCTTAGTGGGACTATCATTTGTTTTTCAACAGGAAAATGACCCAAAACACACCTCCATGCTGTGTAAGGGCTTTTTGACCAAGGAGAGTGATGGAGTCCTGCATCAGATGACCTGGCCTCCACAATCACCCGACCTCAACCCAATTGAGATGGTTTGGGATGAGTTGGACCGCAGAGTGAAGGAAAAGCAGCCAACAAGTGCTCAGCATATGTGTGAACTCCTTCAAGACAGTTGGAAAAGCATTCCTCATGAAGCTGGTTGAGAGAATGGCAAGAGTGTGCAAAGCTGTCATCAAGGCAAAGGGTGGCTACTTGAAGAATTTAAAATCTAAAATATATATGGAATTTTTTAGTTGAATGAGTAGGTGTGTCCAAACTTTTGACTGGTGCTGTATATTCACTTTTATTCCTCTAATTACACATGTGGAACCGCATGAAAATCCTTTTTATGTTTGTTTCAAACCATTTAGAAATGTTGACCCCAATGTCACACATTTTCCCTATTATTTATAGAAAACCCCATTGCTCTATAATACTGTATGTAAAATGGGGTTGCAGAGGTGAAGGGTTGGAAGGGTCCCTTACGTGGTGATCTGCGTCTCCATGAAGATGAGAATGAACACGAGCAGGGCGGGCAGGATGCTAGCACCCATCATCCAGACAGGGAACTGGCCGTCCGAGCCCAGCGGGGGGATCAGCCATCCCCGCTTCTCAGGACTGGTCACCGAGAAGCCTGTGGGCACACTCAGCTTCTGTATGGGTGGGGGGGTCAAAGGGAAAAGGTCAGCCTGGGCTATTCTCACTTCTGATTGGACTCTCTTTACATTTGATTTTGACCTATATTTCACCTGGGTGTAGGTGTCTTTTATGCTGTAGTCCACCAACACCATGATGAGAATCGAGATAGGAACCCCGAAGTCTCCAATCATCCTACGGAGCTGAGACGCAGAACATGTTGGACTGAATATGATATGGTTTCTTACTGCCACAAGTGTCAAGGCATTTTGAATAATACTTTAAGGGCCAATACTGTATGGCTCTGGTCAGGCTAACTGTACTTACCTTGCCGGGGAAGAAGGCACTGTTCTTGAACTTGCGCAGGTAGAACGCAATGAAGAACGTTCCGGACATGAGCACCAGCGTCAGGAGGGCTGTGTTGGGCTCTCCTACCACATTGCCAGGCACGTCGACCACAGTGTGGTTGCATGATGATGACGTCCATGTGCCGTTGACTAGGTAACAGCGTTGAAGAGGATGCTCTTGAAAGATCTGGGTCGGTTTTCATTCAGACAGACAGACATAGACAGACAGGCAGATAGACAGACAGACAGACAGACAGGCAGACAGTTTTCTTATGAGTCTCATACCTTCCTGCACCATGACATCAGTCAGGTGTGTTGTAGATGACTTCAGTTCCAAATGCTCTTGATGGTGTCAGAATGCATGCAGCGGTATAGATGCAGTAAAGAGGTGAATGGAACGCAGACCGTGGGGATAGAAGGATATGGAATTGGCGCACATTCAACAAATATGATCTAACAAAGTGGATATTCATCAAATCCGTCATGATTGATGTATTGTAACTTTCTGCTGAGGGGCAATGAGGAGATTCGGGATCTTACCCCACGGCATTTTTCCCCCACGCATTTCCATGGCATTTCCATTGTTTTGGTCGAGTTCTATTGACCTCGTTACTGCATCTATGCTAGCTATGAATGGCAAACTTGTTAGCCAGCAGACAAGCTAACCCAATCAGCTCCAGCCCAGTGTTGATGGGCGCTCTTCCTCCCAACCTCACCTTGCCCAGTTTGGAGAAGGTCTCGTAGATGAAGATAAGGGAGATGAGGAAGGAGAAGATCTCCTGGGTGAAGCGCGAGACAAAGCGGACCAGGAAGCTGCCCTCGAAGGCCACTATGAGGACCACAATGAGCACCAGCCAGAAGCCAATCCACACCCGGCCCGTCAGATACTCCATGTCATTGGCATTGCAGAACTGCATGACAGAACCACGAGACAAAATGTTGGGTGACGTTCAGAAAGCAACTATCATGCGCACATTTAAACCATATTCCTTACACCAGCTAGCGTTGCACATTTCCAGAAACTTCCCCAAAGTTTGCAGGTTTTTTCAATTGAAGGATGTTTGGAATTAGGAAGGAAAGGAATCCTTCAACTCCTCTAAACGGGATTTGTGTAAAACCCAGAAAACTCTTAGGAAGTTTCAGGAAGGTGGCAACCAGTTAATTCCTTGTAAATTCTTGCCAGGGGGGTGAACAAGTGCACCATTTGGGGAGAAGGGAGAGTAACAGAAGAAGAAGAGAAGATTTAGGCTAGTTACTCACCGAGTAGAAGGCCTCCTCAAACACCAGCAGGGGTCCAGAGAAGCCCACCACAAGGAGAGGCTGCGCCCCAAGGAGGGAGAATATAACGCCCTGCAGTGCCGTGGCGATGATCAGCTCCGACACGCCAATCAACCCCCCCGTCTTCTCACCTAGAGAAGAAGAAGAGAGGGAGGGAGTGATGGAGGAAGTGAATACCAACTCAAAATGATATGGCTACCTATATACTCTATCCCTCTTTTTAGCTTCATTTCAATGTTGTTGTTGTTTTTTTGGGGGGGGGGGTCAGCACTCCAATATTGTCCCTCTTTGTTTTAACTGTATCCCTTACTTCCTCCCCTCCCCCAATGGGTGACTGATTGACTAACCCAGCAGTCCTCCGAAGGTGACGGCGGGTGACAGGGCAGCGAAGTAGATGAATATGACGGCGGCCATGCACTGGGGGTTGAGCGCGTCACGGAAGTCGCTGGCATATTTGGGGTAGCGCCGTGCGGCATCGCGGATCAGTCCCCCAAACAGGCGGCCTGAACGGCGGAGAGGATCGACCCCAGGTTTGAAGGGCGCCTGCAGAGCTGAGGGAGAGAGAAGGAGAGGGTTATTTTGGTGGTCATCCCTCAAGCTCTTTCCTTCAGTAGTTTGTCTTTGTCACCCTTGTCCATGGAATCTTTGGGCTTTTTGGTCTGTAGTTTGTCCTCCTGTTCCTCTGTAATATACAAATGTATATCTGTGTATATCTCTATTACCTTTATCCTTCGGGCTCTTTGGCTCTTTGACCTTGAGCTCCTTGCCCTGCTGCTCCTCTCTCTTGCGGAGCATCTCTCTCTGGAAGCGGGCCACCGAGCGCAGCAGCTCTTCGCCGCCCACCTCAGACGGCGGCAGCACAATGCTGCAGTCCAGGAAGCTGTTGATGGCGTTCAGCAGGTCCTGCCGCTCGTCCGCCAGGTACGCTGCCTCGTGGAAGTGCTGCGGTAAAAATAATAACATTAATATATCGTTGCTGTCTGATGAAAATATCTTATCTCCAAAAAACAGAAACTTTTCGGGAAATGGAAAAAAAAAACTGCCATATTTGACCATTAACGAACATACAATCACCAAACTTCAGAAGCTATTTTGGAATACATTTCTTGGTCCTAGAGTCATGAAATGTTCAGAGTACATTGAGGGGAGTTACTGCTTTCAATAGATGTTTAAAAAAATTAACATTTGTAAAAATGTAGTTCCGAGGTTTTCATCAGACAGTGACGATATGCCACTTAGCAGATGCTTTTATCCAAAGTGATTTACAGGAGAGTGAGTGCATACTGTGCTCCCTGTGGGAGTTCAACCCACGACCTTGGTGTTGCTAGTGTCACACAGAGAAGTATGGGTCACCCATCAGTTAACTCGCCTTGTCAGACATAAGTGTGGAGATGGAGCGGCCAATCTGGTGGTAGTCGATGTTGGCGATGGGCGGGCCCATGAGGAGGAAGAGGAAACGCACAGGGACGGGCACCTCCAGCACCGACTCCAGCAGCACGGCTTCCTGCAGACGCACAAACGCCATGGAAGGCTGCTCCAGGAAGGTCACGGCGCCTGTGGGAGACAGTCATTAAATGTAATTGAACTTTATGGATTATTGAATTTAAGGATGATCGGACTATCAGACTCAGTGGGGCTTTTCACATTCAGATCAAGTGCGTTAGACTAGAGTACGATTGGAGTAAAATCCTAATGGAGGATTAAGCAAAATCATGCTCAGTACAGATATCAATAACAACAACAAAATGTTAATCTGCCATGATTGACACTATTGGCTCTTCCCAATGTGGGGAAACGTCTGCCTCATAGCAGGAAATGGGAGTGAAATAGCAAGGCATACCTACGAGGACGACAGTGGCCTCTGCGTTTTCCGGAATCTTCTCCAGCAACTTGAGCTCATGCTTGGACTTGGACCTGTGCATGCCCATTATGGCAGGATTGTCCTTCTGTAGATGAACACGGGAGTTTAGACACCAGAAAAATACGCACACACTCAGACTCAAAAAACCATAAACACTCACCCAGACAAGAGGACAAAGATGCATGCACACACAAACACAGTTCAAACAACACACTATTACACAAACACAGTTCAAACAACACACTATTACACAAACAGAGCTCACAAAAAACGCTCAGACAGTACTCACAAACATCCCCGTACACACAGACACACTCCCAAAGACACATCCACACTTTCAAGACCTCGCTCTTCTCCATGTCAATGCGGGATTCTGTGAGGGTGCCGGCAGCCACTCCTCCATCCATGAGGGGGTCAGTCACAGAGGGCTCGGCTTGGTCCGTGTGGTTGCTGCTGTTTTGGTGGTTCACCATCAGTGAGACCAGGCTGGCGGCAGAGATGTTCCGCGTGAAAGAGCTATGTTCTTTCTCATCGCTCGGGTGACTGCGGGTAGAGAGAGAACGGCTGAACTGAGTTTGCGTAGTATAACCGTAGGTAGCAGGGTACCTAGCGTATCACAGACTGTAGGTAGCAGGGTAGCTAGCGTATCACAGACAGCTAGAGGAGAGACATACCTGTGTTTGAGTAGTAGGGCTCTGAGGACATTGGCCCGGTCCTCTACTTTGATCTGGTCAGAGATTATCATCTGCTCCACCACCTGATGAGCGATGCCAGGCAAGGTATTCTGCTTCAAGTCCAGCAGCACCGCACCTAAAGAACACCAACAATTTCATTATCTTGCCTTTGTCCATCCCTAGATTATTCTTTATTCCCCACTTTTCTTCCCTTCCTCCCCAATCTCTCCCTCTCTCTATTCATCAATCCTTTTTCTCCCTCCCCCTCTCACCTCTCTTTCACCCTCTCCTTTCCCCAACTCCTTCTCTCCCTCCTTTCCCCAACCCCTTCTATTCCCCACTCGTCTCACCTTCCCTCCCTTTCTTCCCTCACTCTCCCCTCTTTCTCTCACCGTGGGAGATGGTCTTTCGGAGCTCCAGGAGACTACGGAAGGAGAGCGAGGCGACGTGGGGTTTGCCCCAGCGGTCCGTCTCCTCCTCCACGTCCTCTTCAAACTTGATCCAGCGAGCCGTCTCCCGCCACTGCAACTCCTGGTTCTTATCCATCACCAGCTCGTTCAGCTCCACAAACACCTGGAAGAGAGGTCACACATACAGAATATAATAAAGTAAATAGTATAGAAAACTATCTCCGTAATGAAAACCTCCTCCTGTACCTTGGATCCTATTCCAACAGCCTTGCTCAAATCATGCACCTCTGTACTCAGCCCTCTGTTAACCCAGATTGTTATCCACTCCCTCAAATCTGTCAGTGTCCCACCTGCATTTAAGACCGCTGTCATCAGCCCCCTTCTGAAGAAGCCCAGTGCTGGCTAATTACAGGCCAATATCCAACCTTCCCTTTCCTCTCCAAAGTGTTGGGAAATGAGTGGTTGCTGTACAGCTCCAAGTCCATCTCAATCAGAACAACCAATTTCTGAAGTTCCAGTCAGGTTTCCGGCCGGCCTACAGCACTGAAATGGCTCTACTCAGGGTCACCAACGACCTGCTGATTGCGGCTGATGCAGGCTCCCCCTGTCTCCTGATCCTCCTGGACTTGAGCGCAGCGTTTGACACTGTCGACCACCCCATCCTCCTGGAACGCTTCCGGGAAACCACGGACTATCTGGACCAGCTCCGAGCTGGTTCCACTCCTACGTCTTAGACAGGACTGAGTATATGTCGCTAGGTGGGTCCAGGTCCCGGACCCACCATGTCACCTGCAGTGTCTCACAAGGATCTGTTCTTGGACCCTTCCTGTTTGTCCTCTACATGCTCCCCCTCGGTCGTGTCATTATCCGGCATGGAATCCCATTCCACTGCTATACTGATGACACCCAGCTGTATGTAAAAACTGCCCCAAGTCCCTCTGATGCATGTGCCCGTCTGAACACCTGCCCTGGGGAGATAAGTGCATGGATGAAGCAACACTTCCTTCAACTGAACAGCAGCAAAACCGTGGCCTTACTTGTTGGCACCTCCCGCCAGTTCCAGCACTCACAAATAACACACCTCACCATTGCAGGACAGAACATCCCTCTGTCCCCCTCAGTTTCCAATCTGGGTGTAAAGCTTGATTCCTCCCTGACCTTTGACAGCCACATCAAACAACTGTGTAAAGTGTCATTCTATCACCTCGAGAACATTGCCAAACACCGCCCCACCCTCACTCAGTCCGATGCAGAGAAGCTCGTCCATTCCTTTATCTCCTCAAGGCTGGACTACTGCAAAACACTCTTCACCTGGATCCCTGGCAGGATTCTCCAGAAGCTCCAATACATCCAGAACAGTGCTGCCAGGATCCTGATGAGAGTGCGGAAACACAATCACATCACCCCCATCCTGGCATCTCTGCACTAGCTCCCCGTCTCATTCCGGATTGAATTCAAAAACCCTCCTGTTGGCTTTCCAGTGTATTCATGGCAATGCCCCGCTTTATCTCAAAGAACATCTCTACCTCCATAACCCCACCGCGCACCGTCAGGTCAAGAAATAGCCTGCTCCTCCACGCCTCCGGGACCAAGCTCCGCTCCTTGGGGGATCGGGTTTTCATCTTGACTGCCCCGAACCTTTGGAATGCCCTCCCGGACCACCTGAAGGCACCACAGACTCTGGGCTCCTTTAAAACGGGCCTTAAGACCTGTCTCTTTCTGTTGATAGCTGTGCTCCTTGGTGTCCTTGTGCCTTGTAACGTCAGCTGTGTTCTTTGTGTCATCAACAGACAAAAATATATATGTTTTTGTTTTATTTTATGCACTTTGAGATTATTCTGTATAATGAAAAGCGCTTTACAAATGTAATAAATTATTATTCATTATTATTAGAGTAGAATAGAATGGTTCTTTATTTGTCATGGGCACTGATTGATCTCGTACAACGCTGTGTACTACTCCCTTCACAGAACAGAACAAACTGGCTCTAACCAGAATAGAAAGAGGAGTGGGAGGCCCCGGTGCACAACTGAGCAAGAGGACAAATACATTAGAGTGTCTAGTTTGAGAAACAGACGCCTCACAGGTCCTCAACTGGCAGCTTCATTAAAAAGTACCCGCAAAACACCAGTCTCAACGTCAACAGTGAAGAGGCGACTCCGGGATGCTGACCTTCTAGGCAGAGTTGCAAAGAAAAAGCCATATCTCAGACTGCCCATCTTAATCTTTTATTTTTATTGGCCAGTCTGAGATATGGCTTTTTCTTTGATGCTGATGCTCCAGATACTCAACTAGTCTCAAGAAGGCCAGTTTTATTGCTTCTTTAATCAGCACAACAGTTTTCAGCTGTGCTAACATAATTGCAAAAGGGTTTTCTAATGATCAATTAGCCTTTTAAAATGATAAACTTGGATTAGCAAACACAACGTGCCATTGGAACACAGGACTGATGGTTGCTGATCATGGGCCTCTGTACGCCTATGTAGATATTCCATTAAAAATCAGCCGTTTCCAGCTACAATAGCCATTTACAACATTAACAATGTCTACACTGTATTTCTGATCAATTTGATGTTATTTTAATAGACAAAAAAACGCTTTTCTTTCGAAAACAAGGACATTTCTAAGTGACCCCAAACGTTTGAATGGCAGTGTATATCGATATCAGTTGCAATGTTTTGATACAATATCGATATATTTTGGTTTTATTTTTAAAAAATTGCAACTGTTTAAATGTTCACTTTTCTGTTCACTTCCACTCTGTGAAGTCCAGACAACTGTTTGCTGATTGTCCATTGGGCCAGGTGTGAATGTTCTGGGAGTCTTTTTACCTACCTAAACAGTTTGAATACAATGGGAAGCCCTTGATGGCCCATCAGCAGGCAATCACGTATACCAAGTTGAGAGCCTGTGAGAAGGTCTGTGAGAAGGTCTGTGAGAGGGTTTTTCTGCATGCAGTCATGTGGGTCATTCCACCAATAGAGTGCATTTTGGGTAGTGTAATTTGGTCAAACATTTTATTTTATTTGTTACTTGATTTTAACATTCTGTCATAAAGAGCACATGTTCAACTTCATAAAAACATGTTTTCCCCATCTCAAGAGGTTACAAAAAAACACTTCTAAAGTAAGCCAATCAAGTGACAGGGTTGACGATTCATCTTAAATCACATTTACATTTTAGTCATTTAGCAGACGCTCTTATCCAGAGCAACTTACAGTTAGTGAGTGCATACATTTTCATACTGGCCCCCCGTGGGAATCGAACCCACAATCCTGGCGTTGCAAGCGCCATGCTCTACCAACTGAGCTACACAATTAGCCATAAATGCCCCTGTGACAGGGGGAATGGAAGTGTGTTGTGTGCAACAGGAAGGGGCAATTGAATGCAAGCTCCACTAAAATGTTACATTGTTACAACATTTCTAGCCTATCTACCTATGGGTAACAGGGTTGCCGTGTTATGCTCGATGCAGTTTTCCACCACAAAACACCAGAACATGGCCAAGAGTAGAACCAGCTCACCTGCTTTTACACTATGTAAAAATAAAATAAAAAAAGACAAAACTTGAATGGAATAGTTTCACCATATTAAAACGAGAGTTCAGTTCGCGTAACAAGGTTGACCTTAAAATTACGGACAGATGTAAATTAATTACTAATCACATAATATATAATATATAATAATAAATAATAATCTTCAGAAATGACTTTTTCAAAGCAACAAAATAACTAAGGCTTCACAATGATGGTGCAAACTTGGAGAAATCTTGGGGTTAAGTGGGTTAAAATCTTCTCAGAAGTCAGAAAAACATGACGAGGGACATGTCAAAATGCAGATTTTTGGCAAGTCTTTATTGATATAAAAGATCAATTTTTTTTAAAATGTCCATGTGGTTTATATTAAAGAGCACTTCATTTTAATATAACAGGCTTTTAAAATTCAATATTGGTGCACAACGAGAACCACATACACACACATTTTCCCATTTTATGTGACATCCTACTCATGTGTAACATAAACCCCCCCAAAAATGTGCACATTAAACTTGCATTAATGTTTTTATTGTTATTGCTGTGAATCCTGAAGTTTCCAAAATAAAGTGTTGTATCAACCAGACTAAGTTCCAATGAACTTAGGACAAGGTGCATGAAGATATTAGGGTACCATCCAGCATGCATCAAGCCTCTACAAACACACCTGTATAGGTGTGGCGTTAGAAAGTTAAGTAACTGTGCAGTCAAAATCAATCTGAAGGCTAACACGGCCAAAGTCCAAAGTGACCTGGCCTTAAACCGGGTTGTGCTGGTCCAAATAAAACACCCTACCTTCTGGTGCCGTGCCATGCGATCCACGAACTCCAAGCGAACCATTCTGTCCAACCGCGAAGGTCGGACCGATACACAACCACTGGCTGGGCGAGCGAGAAGCAGAGATACTGACAAATCTGACAGAGCAGACTTACCTTACAGTCACCAAACACACAGACACAGAAGAGAGTGAACTTTACCTGGCTACCTTAATACAACAAACTTAACTCCCTGGCTTACTTCCTAGAGCCCCTTGTGTCGTGTTACCTCTCCTCTTTTTCTTGTGGCGTGTGAAAGTTGTCCCTTCATTCATTTCTCAGTCTTTCTCTCCCCCTGTACTGACCTATGTACCAAAGCAGGGAGTTGAAGTACAGGTGACACATTGACTTCTTAAAACCAAACTGTCCATCATAATAACGACTTGACGTGCTACTCACGTCAGTGCCTGTTACTTGTAACCAGCAGTAATTCTACTGGCCTACATCGGTGGGGGTCAAATCAAGTGTAATAGCATATGACAGTGACATGTAAGTCTATGATGGACCAGTCAGGTAAAGTGGTAGCAAAAAAAAAAAAGAAACGTTACCAAATGGATTCCCCAAATGGTTGTTCAAACAAGGGGAAAAAAAATACATGGAATTGGCCCAGTACCCCTCGCCCCCTGGTACCCACCTCATGTGGGGTGCGATCCAACTTGCGGCTGCGGGCGCTAGGCTCCTTGTGGTCCTTGCTGATGTGCACCACCTGACCCTTGTTGCTCTTCCTGACCAGGTGACGGCGAACCGCAGGCACATCCTCAAACCTGTGGCCTAATGGACATGGGGAGTGGGGACAGAGGGACAGAGAGACAGAGAAAAATAGAAAGGAAGTGATTTTCTGGTCCCAAACTGCTTTTCTCTTTTTTAAGTCATCAGATCAGATAAATACTTATTTTTTTTCATGACAACATCAAAGTGTCTGGGAAAGACGTCATATTTTGGTTGTTATCTGACCAAATTACAAATAGTTAAATATGTATATTTCTGGTCGCTAAAAGGATGGCTTAAAAACATCCTTTTTCAATCAGTATACAACTGACTATCCCGTCACAAAAGACATCAAGAATAACGTTGTTGCAACTAGTTTCGCCCGCTGCAGTGTGTTTTAACAAGCCTGGTGAGAACACACTCAGATTCCCACGGGAGTACTTTTTCTTGAAAACAACATTTCAGGATTGGCTTAACAATAGGAAAGCTTTCCAAGGACTCATGGTGTGTGAGACCAACAAATCAAGACCAACCCCACCCTCATCAACTAGCCAATGTATTGCTTTTTTTAAAACTCACTTCTCATAGCTCAAATAGAGGCAAATTCATGGCTATCAAATTAAGATAATGGTTGGGTTGGCTAACCATTGATACAAACATTAAACATGAGCAGTAGATCTGAACTACAAACTTGCAAATAATTGCAAGAACTTTAAACAGGCAGTCAAACCCAAAGAAAGATAATCAAACGTATTATATTATAAGTTATAACAATCTCATCATAATTTAATTATATATTATATCATGGATACTCACAAAAATCTTTCCTCTGACTCAAAGAAAGGCGCAGTTGCAACCTTTTGACTTTCAGAACACAGCACCAAACCATGCTTCACTTTGGGGCAAAATGAATGATTGTTTTCCAAAGAATGATGGATGGGCACACGCCACACACACACACACACACACACACACACACACACACACACACACACACACACACACACACACACACACACACACACACACACACACACACACACACACACACACACACACACACACACACGCCACACACACACACACACACACACACACACACACACACACACACACACACACACACACACACACACACACACACACACACACAGACTTTTATCTGAACATGAAACAAACAATGCAAAACTGCACTCCAGTGGTGGGCAGCTTTGGGCTCTTTGAAAAGGTTCACATTCCAACGGTGCTCAGTGAACATGTGGGATGGACGGCACTGTTTGCCTGTTCACAGAACAATAAATTCCATATTTGGGATCAGATTTAAGATAACAAATGCAAATTGACTGTGGAGAATAGACTTTTTGTCTCTAAATATCACGGTTTTGTAAGCTTTCCATCAGGGTAAGGACAGGACAACACGGACATAAAAACATGTCTTGGTCAAAGCTTTATTGAAGTTTTGCTTTCATTCTCCCTAGAGGTGATATCATTTGGATGTCCATTAAAGTTACTGACAAATACATTAACATACAGCCAAAGTGATGTCTAGGAGATGTCATAATAAATTTATAGGTTAAAATCAGAGTAACTCCACCATGTTAAAATAATGTCATAGATACAGTTGCTAGTGAAAGTAAATACACCCCTTGCACAGTCTTCACAGTTAGCTGCTTTAACATTGAATAAAAAATGGGATTAAATTACATTTTCAAAATTAATTAAAAAAAAAAAAAAGTTAAGATGTATTGATTGTGTATGTCTTCACACCCCCAGAGTTAATACTTGGAGGAAGCACCTTTGGTTGCCATTACAGCTGTTAATAATTTGAAGAAGATTCTACCAACCTTGCACAACTCTTAGGGCAACATACATGCATTGTTTTTGTCAAAATTGCTGAAGCTCAGTAAATTTGGTTGGGAATCATTGATGGACAGCAATATTCAAACCTTGTCTCTGTTTTCAAGAATATTTCAGTAAGGACTGAGACTGGACCACTCAGGAACACTCAACACCTCTTGGAAAGCCATTCTGGTGAGTCTTTGGTATAAAACTTTGAGTAATTGTCCCACTAAAAAATAAAACTCTATCCCAGGGTTAGATTTTCAAAAGACTATGGCTGCTTTTCCTTGAACTTTTTACCTAGGCTTTGCTCCTTTCATATTTCTTTAGATCCTGACAAACTCCCAAGTCCCTGATGGTGACATGCATATCCATAACATGATGCTGCCACCACAATACTTGAAAATACAACATTGCATATACTCCACATTACTGGCCTGTATGACAAAGTGAAAAGAAGGAAGCCTGTATTTTAAAAAATCCACTCCATATAATCCATTCTGTTAGCAACAAGTAATACTGCAAGACAACACAGCAAATAAAATAACTTTTTGCTGATCTCAGTTGCAACCATCATTTGCCACCGAATTATCGCTCCCTAACGCAGATGTCAAGGTTATCTTCTAGAACAAAAAATAGGGCAGCACTCCAGTGAATAAACGTAACGTTATGACTATAACTACTGTTCCCCAAAGGATGGAAACGAGGTACAACACAACTATGGGGAGTCGTTCTCTCACGACTTCGATTGAAGAACTCAAATCACGCCTGACAATGAAATCTGCGCCTCGCTGGAAGCCTCACTTTCCACAGGTGATAAAATAAATAAATAAATAATATGCCATTTAGCAGACGCTTTTATCCAAAGCGACCCCGATAACCCTATTTAGCCTGTCCTGTCCCAGCTGTGAACACACTGTGTGGGCTACATTGGGAGTAGTGACATCCAAGCGATGAAACCTCACAAAAGTGTGTAGTGATGCACATCTCGTCGCTAAACACAAATATCCCCTGCTGTCAACCCTTTCGATAATGCCCAAGATGCTGCCGGACCCCTGGTGGAGTGTGGAGCGTACACCGTTAGGTAACGCTTGCCTCTTTCTGCTATATGCCAGGGCGATAGCCTCCATAATCCAGTGGGAGAGACGCTGCTTAGAGAGCGCCGCTGCCGCAAGCTGGATTAACAAAACAGACAAGAAGCTGGTCACTTAACCGGCTATCCCGGGTCCGCTTAATGTACGTGCGTAAAGACTGTACTGGACACAGGGCATGTAACTGTAATTCTCAGAAGCAAATGGAGGAGGCGAAAAGGGAAATAGCTCAAAGCTAGAGACCTATAGGACACAGTCATGACCATTGGAACGAAGGCCGCATTAGGACACAACATACAGGAAGGGTGTACGGATAAAGTGCGGAGATCCCCAACGTGTTTAGCCGAGGCCAAAGCCACGAGCAAGGAGGTTTTGTAGGAGAGGATCTTCAGATCCACAGACTCCAGTGGTTCAAAGGGGGCCTCACACAGAGCATCCAAAACCAAAGCTAAATCCAATAAGTGTGCGCGATAGGTTTAGAAACAAGTCTGAGACAGCGCTCACCCTTAGGAACCACACCGCAAGGGCACAAGCCATCAATTCCAACATGACAAACTGAAATAGCCACCATGTACACTTTCAAAGTGGAGAATGAATGACCCTGCTCAAAAAGCTCCTTTAGGGACATAAGCATTTTCAACAGAGCACTCTGAAAATAATTCCTTTCTTATTCCTTTATAAATGTGTTTGTTTTGGCACCAAAGCTCCAACACCTGCCACTTAAATGCATACAGCCCTCCCATGGAGGGCGCCCTTGCAGACGAATAGTAGCCAAGCCCACAAACCTGCCCGTGCGCCTGGGATAACCAACAGGTGGACAATCTCCGCAAACCAAGGTTGCTTGGGCCAACGGGAGGCCATGAAAATCAATGACAAGCTCCACGGGAGGGCTGTATGCGTTTAATTGGCAGGCGTTGGAGCTTTGGTGCCAAATCAAAGGAATCGTGTTCGTGTGAGTCTCCCCTTTCCATAGAGTGGTCATAATAGTTTGTAGACTGATTATCGGGATGTTTTCATGGTTTGACAAACAGCTTTTCATAGCTCTGCCACCTTTCACCGCAGATGCAGAAGTGTGATATCGACAGATGTGGTGGATTGAGACGCATCCAATGCAAAAAAACAACAGATATCTCTAGCTTAAACTGAGGGATTCTGATGGGATTTTTTCTATTATTTTACTTAGATTGTGTTAAGATGTATTGATTGTGTATGTGTATTGGGTTGTTTGAACATGGACAAGCGTTCAACATACACTACCGGTCAAAAGTTTTAGAACACTGTCACGATCGTCTAGAACAGATGAGGACCAAGGCGCAGCGTTGCAGGCAAACATACTCTTTATTACGAGACACGATCAAAACAACAAACGATACGGTCTACCATAAACAGACTAGAAACAAAATCCCACAAACACGAATGAAAAACAGACTGTTTAAATATGGCTCCCAATCAGAGACAACCAGCAACACCTAACACTTGTTGCCTCTGATTGGGAGCCACTCTGGCCAACATAGAAATAGCACCCATAGAAACAAAACACATGATCTACACACCCTGGCTCAACATAACAGTGTCCCCAGAGCCAGGGCGTGACAGTACCCCCCCCCCCCCCTAAAGGCGCGGACTCTGACCGCGTCAACCAAATACCACAGGGGAGGGACCGGGTGGGCACTCCGCCTAGGCGGCGGATCCGGCTCCGGGCCTGATCCCCGCTCCCTCTCCAACCCCCCAAAGTACCCCTGGTCCGGTCTGGCCCCGCTGGCCGGAGCTGGACTGCACACTGATGGAGCGGATTGCTCTAGCTCCGGCGTAAAACATCTGACCAGTGCCGAACCAGGCACCAGTGGAACAGGCACGGGCCGTGCCGGACTGACGACGCCCACCACTGGCCTGGTGTGGAGAACAGGCACGGGCCGTGCTGGACTGACAACGCACACCACTGGCTTGGTGTGAGGAGCAGGAGTGAGCCGAACCGGGCTGACGAAACGCACCACTGACTTGGTGCGGGGAGCAGGAACGGGCCGAGCCGGGCTGACGAAGCGCACCACTGACTTGGTGCGGGGAGCAGGAACGGGCCTAGCCGGGCTGACGAAGCGCACCACTGACTTGGTGCGGGGAGCAGGAACGGGCC